GGAGGAGGAGGAGGGGGGGGGCGGGGGCGAGGGGGACGGACGAGGGAGGGACGGCGCGGCGGTCGGGAAATCGTCGCGACGCATGCGCGCGAGCAGCGCGACGCGCAGCGAGGCCGCCGCCGCGGCGGGCCTCGGACGGCTGTACTTGGAGATCGGCACGCTCGAGAAGCACGACTACTTCGGAGACGTCGTCCTGGCTCGGAACAAGTTTGAACACCCGGCGTCGATGATCGCCGCGTCCGGCGTGACGAAGTTGTACGTGTTGTCGCGCTGGGACCTGCTGCGACGCGTGGACCAGACCGTGGTGGATAAGCTGAGGAGCGACACTTCGCGGCGGACGCGGTGGATGGAGGACGAGCGGACGCTGCTCGACGAGTTTCAGAAGGTGAAGGACTGGATGGACTACCGCGACCAAGTCGTGAACGACGTCGTGAGCGAGAAAGCCGCGCGGAAGGCGCTGGCGAGGTTTCACTGACGAGATAGACATAGAACTAGACGGAACTACGCGTGGTGTTCACGTGTTGTCGACGGGACGTCGATCGCGCGCACCTCTCGTCGCTTCGAGCCGAGCCGCGTCCCGTGGGAGCGACTGACGAAAACGACACGCAGACGAACGAGAGATAAAAAAATGATCTCGACCGTCGCGTCGGGCACATCTATCTCACACAGCTCTCGCGCGCCGCGATGACGACGGTCGTCGTCCGCGCGGTCGCGCACCCCCGCGCTCGCGCGCGCGTCCTCGCGTCCACGTCCGCGTCCGCGTCCGCGTCGGCGACGGCGACGCGCGCGGCGGTCAAGGTTCGACGCGCGAACGAGTCCGACGTCGCCGCGGTGGCGAACATACTGAGCGGCGCCGCGCTGGAGATGGCGAGCCCGCCGCCGCTGAGCTCTCTCAAGTCATACGCGCGCCTCGCGTGCGCGGCGGCGCCGGAGGACGAGCTCGCGCTGGTCGCGGAGCTCCCGGACGACGAGCTCCCGACCACCTCGGCCCCCGACGTCGTCGGCGTCGTCGGCGTCGTCGGCGTCCTCTTCGACCGCGAGCTCAAGCCGCACGAGATGCGCCTCGACCCCTCCACCGCCTACGTCACGAACCTCGCGGTGTCGCCGCGCTGCCGTCGCCGAGGCGCGGGGCTGTCTCTCCTGAGAGCCGCGGAGGACGCCGCGAGAGACGCCGGGTTCGAGACCGTCGCGTGCCGCGTCGAGGAGACGAACGTCGCCGCGAGGGCGATGTACGACGGGCTCGGGTACGACGCGCACGAGCCGGCGCGAATAGGGAAGTTTCGACGTCTGATGGCGGCGCTGTACGCCGGCGCGGGGGCGGCGCACTTCTACGACGCGGTGATTGGGAGCGGGACGCTGCTCAAGATGGCGGGCGCGCCCGCGTTCGCGGCGATGAGCGAGACGCAGAGGGCGGCGGTGGTGCTGTGGTGCGCCGCGGGGCCGGCGGCGCTCGCGTCGGAGAGACTCGGGGGGAAAACCGCCGCAGTCGTCGGCTTGGCCTTCTACGGCGCCGTGGAGGTTGGGCTCGCCGCGATGTGCGCGAAGTATTACGGCGCGAGCGGGGGGGACGCGGCGACGGGCGCGGTGTGCGTGCAGGCGGTGGTGTTCGTGTGTTATCAACTCCTCGCGCCGAGGCAGGCGGCGGGGATGCTGACGATCGCGAGGAAGTTGTGATTGAGGAAGTCGAGCGCGCGAAGATGCAAAACACGGCGTCGTATGATATGTATCATAGGTACACTACGCGCACAGGAAAGAACGCGCTCACGCGCCCACGCGCGGGCGCTGCTTCTTTTTGCTCGGCGAGAACCACGACCGCTTCTTGCTCTTCGCCGGCGGCCCCGGCGACGGCGGCGGCGACGGCGGCGCGAGATCGAGATCGAAACCGACGAGATCGCTCGCCTCCCTCGCCGCGTCCCTCTCGTCCGCGGCGGCTAACATCTCGATCGCGTCGAGCTCCAGCGGCGCGTCGCCGCCGTCTTCGTCGCCGCCGTCGCTTCCTCCCCCGAGAGAGGTGCCCACGCCGAGACGGTCCATGAGCGCGTGTCGCCGCCGTCGCTCCTCCGCGTCGCCCGCGGCTTCGGCGAGTCGTTCCACCGCGCGTACCTTTTCCTCCGCCTCCGCGGCGTTCGCTTCCAGACTCTCCGCGCGTTCGATCGCCGCCGCGCGCTCCCTCTCCATCTTTCTGACGTGCTCACCCATCTCCACCGCGCACTCGTAGTTCGCCGACGCTTGTCTCGTGATCGCGTCCAACTTCTCGAGCGCGACGCGCAAGCTTTCGTCCGCGGCGGCGGCGGATTTTTCGGCGGCGACGACGCGCGCGGCCAGCGCGTGCATCTTCGCGTCCTTCTCCGCGTCCTTGATCTTCTGCGCCGCGTGTTGAAGCATCCGGTCTTTGCTCGCCGCGGCGTTGAACCGCGCGGCGACTTTTTTGTGCTCCGCGTTCGCTTTTAACAGCTTCTTCTTCGTCTTCGCGAGCTCGTCGGGGGCGACCGCTTTCGCCTCCGCGACGACGACGCGGCGTCGCAATTGGTTGTTTAGACGCCGCGCCTCCGACATCGTTCGCGCCCACTCCGCGCGTTCTTTGGCCCACGCGGCCTCTTTCTTGCGGATCACCGCGCCGTCCATGCACTCCATGCACCGAACGACGCGCGACGGCGGCTCGCGGTCGACGAACGACGGCGCGACTGGATTCGTGGGCAGTCTCGGAGGAGACGCGAAACGAAGCGGCGGTCGGGGGCTCTTCGCGCTCTCGCGTTCGCCCTCGCTCTTGCTCCGGCTTCGCCCGCGCGAAGACTTCGACGGGCTCGCGACGCGACGGCCGCGCGGGGGGCTCATGCTCGTGACGCGCGCGCGCGGACCCGGGCTCGAGACGCGCGCCTTCCCCCGCGGAGGCGACGGCGAACGCACGGGCGAACGCATCTTGCGAAGGTCCGCCCGTATCGACGACTCCTGCGACGCGGGCTGCGGCTTCTTCTTCTTCGATTTTCCAAACAGACCCATCTCGCGCGAGTGATACGGCACGTCGAACGGAACCTCTCGCGCGGGGAGGGCGTCGACCTCGCGGGCGGCGTGCGGCGCGCGCCGAGAGTGTGGCGACGAGAATTTGGATTTCGTCACTTTCGGTGCGTGAAAATTGGCGTTTATTTTTTGGCAGCGCAGCGCAGCTTTCGCAAAGCGGACGGTCGGTCTTGTCTGTCTGCGCGCGTCGATGGATAGACGGACCCTAAGAACGAAGCCGTCGTCGTCTCACATGACAATCCCCGCCTGATCCGATATCCCTCCTCGTTGCCTCCTCCTATCTACTCGCCTCTCGCCGACGGCACCCGACGCGTTCCCTCCTCCCTAATATTCCGGGAGCCGCCGCCTCGCCTTTTCGTCTCCTCTCACATCCTTCGAACCACCCCCCAACACGCGCACCCAAACTCACGAACGAATCAAAATCGACTCGACGCACGCGTCCCATCGCCCATCGCTCACGCCTCGAACGGCGCGAAGACGCACGAGGAGTTGTGCCCGCCGAACCCGAACGAGTTCGAGATGGCCACCTTCACCTCGTGCTCCACCTTGACGTTCGGGCACGTGTCGATGTCCGCCACCTCGTCGATGCTGTCCTCCTGGTTGATCGTCGGGTGCAACCACCCGGTCTTGATCGCCATGATCGTCGCGACCGCTTCCACGCCGGCCGCGGCGCCGAGGCAGTGACCGACCATGGACTTCGTGCCGTTCATCTTCACGCCGTCGAGCTTGTTGTTAAACGCCTTCTTCACCGCGTTCACCTCCGCGACGTCGCCGACGAGCGTGCTCGTCGCGTGCGCGTTGATGTAGTTGATCTCGGAGATGTCGATCCCCGCGTCCTCGACCGCCTTCGTGATGCACAGACCGACGCCGCTGCCGTCCGGTCGCGGGTCCGTCATGTGATGCGCGTCGCACGTGACGGCGCCGCCAAGGTACTCGGCGTGGATCCTCGCGCCGCGCTTCTGCGCCGACTCGAGCGACTCGAGGACGAGCAATCCCGCGCCCTCGCCCATGACGAATCCATCGCGGCCCTTATCCCACGGTCTGGACGCGCCCTTGTAGTTGTCGTTGTTGGACGACAACGCGCGGCACGCGACGAAGCCGCCGAGGCCGACCGGGATGATCGGCGCCTCGACGCCGCCGGCGACGATGATATCCGCCTCGCCCTTGCGGATGTGGTTCGCCGCCGCGTGGAAGCAGTAGTTCGCGGTCGCGCACGCGGTCGAGATGGAGTAGTTCGGGCCCATGAAACCCTTCTCGATCGCGAGCAGAGCGCCGCCCATGTTGGTGATGGCGTACGGGATGAAAAACGGCGTGATCTTCTTCGGGCCCTTCTCCACGAGCGCCTTGACGCCGTCTTGGAACACGGTCAGGCCGCCCATGCCGCTGCCGGCGAGGACGCCGACGCGCGTCTTGTCCAGCTTCTCGATCGCGTCGTCGTCCAGACCCGCGTCGAGTAAAGCCTTGTTCCCGGAGACGAGCGCGTATTGGAGGCAGTTGTCCATCCGGCGCGCGTTCTTCTTGTCGATGAACCCCTCGTTGTCGAAGTCCTTGATCTGCGCCGCGAACTTCGTGGGGAAGTCCTCGGTGTCGAACCGATCGATCATGTCCACGCCGGACTCCCCCGCGAGGAGCTTGTCGTAGAACTTGTCGTAGTCGTTCCCGAACACGGAGCACAGGCCCATGCCGGTGACGACGATCCGCTTCTTCGGATCCGTCTCCCTCGCCATGTTCACGACGACGATCGTCCGGCGGCCGGCGGCGCGGGACCCGGACCCGGCGGAGGTGCGCGCGGAGATGACGCGGCGGTTCGCCACGACGCCCCGGGCGCCGATGATGGTGGACGACGCGAGCGCGGCCATCTTGTTTTTTTTCAGCGGCGAGGACGAAGACCTGCGACGGCGCGACGGGACGGGGGGGGGGAGGGGGAGAGCGTCTCAGCGCGCGCGCGCGGTGGGGAGGAAGCGCGCGAGGCGCGACGACGTCGGGGAAGGGATCGCGCGAAGATCGCGCGCGCGTCCGCGGGATCGCGCGTCGGGCATCGCGCGCGAGCGCTCCCGTCGCGCGGCGCGATGGGAACGCGACTCGACCGGTAATCAATCCAGTCCGTCGACCAGACCCTCCGAGGCGAGAGGGGGCTGGATCCGCGCGCGGGCGCGGCGTCGTCGCGCGCGGCGCGACGGCGCGCGAAGGGTTCGATCGAGCGTCGCGCGATCGGATCGAGACGAAAACGGGCGGGGCTTCGCACCTGCGCGAGTGTGGGTATGCCGCCGACGGACGGACTTCGACGGAAGCCTTACCCTCTCGCGACCGAACCGCACGCGGTCCTCATCAGCGGGCGGCGAATAGCCTATCCACTTCGCCAGGTGAGAACGCCCGGGTGAATTCCAGGTTATGGGGACAGTCTTACTGTTTGCCCGTACGCGCGTACGCGAAATACGTACTACGTGAGGAAGGTGCAATATTGAGATGCGTCTCGGCCAATCAACGGCCTCGCGTCCGTCCGAATAAGTGAGATCCGGATCTCCTCGCTGAAAGGGTGGGGTCGAGCGGTCGATTGCGCACTGACAAAGCGCGCGCGTTCCGTCGCCGCCGCTCGTTTCGCCCCACTCCGTCAACATCATGGCGTCCTCCATGACCATGGCCTCGGCCCCCGTCGCTCAGACCACCAGGTGCGCATCGCGTGCGCTCTCGCGGCCGCGTTTCCGGCGGAAAAGAAACATCGCGATGCGATGAGGGAAAGGGTTATTCGCTGCGCGATTTATCCCGTGCACGTTTCGCCTCGGAAACGGCGCGCGGACGCACGCGCGAGGAGCCCCTCGCGCGTTCGCGCGCGACGTTCAGGATGCACGCGGTCGCGGTCCAGCGACCGCGCGGTTCTGGGCGCGATGCCCGCGCGTCGCGACGTCGCACCGCGCGCGAAACGCGCGCGGAGAGATATTTCGTTTCGGCACGAACAGCGCACGACGACGAGCGCGACGTCGACGACGTCGTCGTCCGTCGCCCTCGCGGCGTCGTTCCGAGCGCGTTCTCTCCGCGCGCGCGCGCGCGAACGCGTCTTCGCGACGCGTCCTCGTCGCCCGCGCGACGCGAACGCCGGTCGCATCGCGCGCGCGACGCCGCGCGCGCGTTCGCCGGATCCGATCGCGCGCGATGAGTTGACGTTATCGTCGCGACGATCGATGATCGGACGTAGTCGTAGTTCGCCGCCCGCGCGCCCCCGCCCCTCCGCACTCTCGTCCGTCCATCCCGCTGACCATCGATCGTTCCCCTTCTCCTCCTCGCATCATCGCATCAGGAGCCTCAAGTCCTCCAAGTTCCACGGCGCCAAGGTGACCTCCCGCGCGCGCGTCGCCGCCGCCGCCGTCGACGTCGAGACGCGCGCGGCTGGCAAGCCGCTCCCCGACGGCCGCAAGCTCCGCGTCGCCGTCATCGGCGGCGGACCCGCGGGCGCGTGCGCCGCGGAGACGCTCGCCAAGGGTGGCTGCGAGACGTTCCTCATCGAGCGGAAGATGGACAACTGCAAGCCGTGCGGCGGCGCGATCCCGCTCTGCATGGTTGGCGAGTTTGACCTTCCCGAGGAGATCATCGACCGCAAGGTGACGAAGATGAAGATGATCTCGCCGTCCAACCGCGCGGTGGACGTCGGGCAGACGCTCAACGACAAGGAATACATCGGCATGTGCCGCCGCGAGGTCATGGACGACTTCCTCCGCAAGCGCGCGAAGTCGCTCGGGACTAATCTCGTGAACGGCCTCTTCATGAAGCTCGAGGACCCGGGCCAGGGCAACGGCGCCATCACGATTCACTACAACGACTACGAAGCCGACTCCAAGGTTGGCGAGCCGAAGACGATGGAGGTGGACTGCATCATCGGCGCGGACGGCGCTAACTCCCGCGTCGCGAAGAACATCGACGCGGGCGAGTACGACTACGCGATCGCGTTCCAGGAGCGCATCAAGATCCCGGACGAGAAGATGGAGTACTACAAGGATCTCGCGGAGATGTACGTCGGCGACGACGTCTCGCCGGATTTCTACGGCTGGGTGTTCCCGAAGTACGACCACGTCGCCGTCGGCACGGGCACGGTCGTGAACAAGACCGCGATCAAGACGTACCAGGCGGCGATGCGCAAGCGCGCGGAGGAGAAGTGCGCGGGCGGTAAGATTATCCGCGTCGAGGCGCACCCGATTCCGGAGCACCCGCGCCCGAGGCGCGTGCAAGGCCGCGTCACGCTCGTCGGCGACGCCGCCGGCTACGTCACGAAGTGCTCCGGCGAGGGGATCTACTTCGCCGCGAAGTCCGGACGCATGGCCGCCGAGGCTGTCGTCGAGCGCTCCGAGAACGGCACGAAGGAGGTTGACGAGTCCGACCTCCGTCTGTACCTCGACAAGTGGGACCGCAAGTACTGGGCGACGTACAAGGTGCTCGACATTCTCCAAAAGGTTTTCTACCGCTCCAACCCCGCGCGCGAGGCGTTTGTGGAGATGTGCGCGGACGAGTACGTGCAGAAGATGACGTTCGACTCCTACCTGTACAAGACGGTCGTCCCGGGCAACCCGCTCGACGATATGAAGCTCCTCGGGAACACGGTCGCGTCCATCGTGCGCGCCAACGCGCTTCGCGCCGCCGGCAAGTCCCAGGTGAACGTGTAAACGACGCGAGCGTTCGTTTCGCGGCGCCGCGCCGCGTCTCGCGGGGGTTCTAGGCGTGTGAGCGAAAGATGCAGGCGGTACGATCGATTTTTTGCGAGGAGCGACGGAAGGGAAGACGTCCGTCGCGGTTTTGAGGGTGCGCGCGCGCGCGATGCGAGCGGCGCGCGGGTGAGTGGTGGATGGGCGCGCGCGGGGCGGGGCGTCCCGCGCGACGCACGCGCTATGTGATGTGTCGATTCCAATGTTAGCCTTCGTTGGAATATAAACCTACCAGTTTTTTGTCGCCTACCTGCGCTTGTTGCTCGCCTCGAGCGCGCGCAGGAACTGCGCGCACGTCACCGGCGGCGGTCGCCACGACCCGTCGTCCATCTCCGTCGCCGCCTCCACGTCCGTCTCGCCCTCCGTCTCCCCCTCCTCCTTTTCCGCCTCGTTCGCCGCGTTCGCCGCGTTCGCCGCGTTCGCCGCTCGCCTCGCGGGGGGCGGCCGAGCGACGAACTCCTTCCCCCCTCCCGCGCCCTCGCGCGTGACCGCGCGGAGGCCGTGATACTCGCACAGCCCGTGCGCGAGCAGCCGCGCGAACGCGTCGTCGAGCGGAAGCACGAGCTCGGGGACGTCCGCGTCCGACGATAGATCCGAGCCGCGTCCCCCGAAATCCGCGGCGAAATCCACCGCGAAATCCACCAGCGCCGCCTCCAACCGCTCGAGCTGCTCCGGGTGCCTTCGCGACGCCCGTCGCAGCGCCGCGCGACATCGCGACGACGTGCGGCTCCACGCCGCGCCGCGAGCTCTCGACCCGCGGTGCCGCTCTCGCCTCCGCGCGGCGTCGTCGTCCGAGAGACGCGAGAGAAACGCCGCCTCTTTGTCCATGTCGACGCGGCGGAACCCGAGCCACTCCCCTCGCGCTTGCGCGTCGAGCATCGCCTCGAACGGGCTCGGCTTCGACGGCGCGCCGAACGGCGGCGGCATGAACTGCGCGGCCATCTCCGCGACGGTCATGTTTCCGCCCAGCTCTTTGAGCAGCCGATCGTTCGCCCAGCGGCGGCGGCGGCGTTGCCCGAGCCTCGCGACGTCCGCGAGTTCTTCTCTCAGCGCCGCGTCCTCTCTCGCGGTGGACGCGCGGCCGCTCGCCATGGCTCGGTGGAGAAGCGACGCGCCGTCGCCGCCGCTCGACGCGGGCGCGGATCGCGACAGCGACAGCGTCGCGAGGGAGGAGGACGCGCCGGTCGCGTCGTCGTCGTCGTCGTCGGCGTCGTCGTCGTCGTCTTGTTCGTTCGCCGCGTCGTTGGTTCGAACTTGCCTCGACCCCTTCCCCGCGCGGCGTCGTGGCCGCGCGGTTGGGGCGTTGTCGTACTTCGCCGCCGCGCCGCCGCCGCCCGCGCGCCTCGGCGCGAGGATGCTCATGATGCGATCGAACTTGCTCAACGTCGAGTGCACGTCCTGCCGCGGCGGCGCGCGCGCGGAGCTCTCGTGATGGAATTGCTCGTTCGAGAGGTGGCAGTGCGGGCACAGCTGCGCGCTCGTCGCGCGCGCGCCCGCGCCGCGCCATCGCGCGCGCGACGTCACGAGCACGAGCGGGAGTCTTCTCTCGCGCGAGGTGCCCTTCCCGGCGACGTACGAGTACGTCGTCGTGGACCCGGCGTCGTCGCCGTCGCCGTCGCCGTCGTCGTCGTCGCCGTCGTCGCCGTCGCCGTCGTCGTCGTCGTCGACGCGGGACGAGCGAGATTCATCCAGCGCGTACCACCGTCGCGCGGACACGCACGGGCACAGCGCGCACGCGCCGGGGATCATCGCGCGGGTCGCGGGCGCCGCCGCGACGGGAGGAGGGTCGTCCGCGAAGCTCACCGCGGCCATGGCTGACGGCGGCGAGGCGAGGCTCGCGCGCGCGTCTTCTCGCGGACGGAGATGGGATAATCCAGGTTTTGAGTTCAGGTGCGTTCTTAAAAGTTTTTCACCCATCGCTCGGTTTCAACACTTGATCGCGTCCCCTTTCATTTGACCGGTGAACTTTTTTTGTATAGAACTCATCAGCTACCCCCCTCGCACCCCCGCGACCTTCCCCGCCTCGTCCCACAGCTCGCTCGCTATCGCGGCGTCGTACGACATCGCGCTCGACGGCACCTCCCGCGTCGCGCTCGCGACCCTCCCGCCGCTGAGTCGCCGAAGCGGGTAATCCAACAGACTGCACGCCAACGCGCCCGCGCCCCACAGGCCAAACTTTACCGACCACGCCGCCCTCGCGAGCGCGCCGGCGACTCCGGGGCCGTCCTCGGCCGGGGATCCGCCGGGGGCGAGCGCGGAGATGAACGACGACGCGAACAAACCTCGCGCGTAGAACCGCGTCCGAGCGTCGTCGTCGTCGTCGGCGTCGGCGGCGGCGTCGTGTGCGGCGGCGTCCGTCTTTCGGTTTCGGTTTCCATTTCGGCGTCGGTCTCGGTCTCGGTCTCCGTTCGCCTCCTTCTCGCCGCTGCCGCCGCCCGCCGCGCCGGTCCGCGCGAACGGCGCGAGCGACGCCATAACCACCGCCACCGCGCCGTCCTCCGGCGGCGCGTACGCGAAGCTCAAGATCGCCTTCATCGGCCGCGCGCTGAAGAACGCGTCGTTGTTCCACAGGCTCGAATACACCGCGCCGGGGTCCACCGCGGAGGACGCGACGCCGCGCTTCCCCCACCGGCGCGCGATCTCGTACGCGAACATCACGTTCGCGAGCTTCGTCGCGGCGTACGAGCCGACGTCCCAGTCCCTCAAGAACTTCGGGACGGACGCGACGGACGCGTAACGGTGCGTCACCGAGGAGACGTGGACGACGTTGGCGCCGGCGCCGGCCCCGCCTTTCTCGCGGCCCTCCGCGGCCGCGGCGAGGATCGGCGCCTCGAGCGCTCGCGTCAGCGCCGCGGGGCCCAAGAAGTTGATCTGCGCGATCACGCCTACGCCGCTCTTCGTGAACGCGCGTTTGAGGAAGTTCGTCCCCGCGTTGTTCACGAGCAGGTGGAGCCTCGGGTGCTCGCTCGTGAACTCGCGCGCGAACGATCGCACGCTGTCGTCGCTCGCGAGGTCTAACCGCGGCCCGACGACGACCAAGTCATCGCTCGCGACGCCCGTCTCCGCGCGTATCGCGGTCGCGACTTTCTCCGCCGCGGCGACGTCGCGGCAGCCGAGGACGACGCGCGCGCCGCGTCGCGCGAGCGCCGTCGCGGTCGCGCGTCCCAGCCCCGACGTCGCGCCCGTCACGAGCGCGGTCTTCCCGGTCAGGTCCGCGCTCGAGACGACGCGCTCGTCCACGGCGCGGACGCGGACGGACGACGGGCGGCGCGTTTCGGCGGCGGCGTTTGGACGCGGGTTCGTCATCGCGCGCGGCGCGCGACGACGTTGTGAGAGGCGGCGGACCCGTCGCGGACGTAGCTAGACAATCACGATGACGACGACTGGACGCTCGTTCAGTTTTCGTTCACTCCGATGGCGCGCGCGCTCGCGGCGACCGCGGTGCGGAGCGCCGCCGCGCGCGTCCTCTCGTCGCGCCATCGCGCGCGTCGCGCGACCGCCGCGCGCGTCGTCGTCGCACGCGCGTCGTCGTCGTCGTCGTCGCAAACCGACGACTTCGCGGTCGAGCACCAGCGCCGGTACCTCGCGTCTCAGCTCGCGAGCCTCGCGCGGAGCGATCCCTCCAGCGCATCGATCCCGGAAGCGATCGCCGCGCTGGAGCGCGCTCGCGCGCCCGTGGACCTCGCCGCGTTCGACGGCGCGTGGGAGGTGGCGTGGAGCGAGGGCACGATGGCGTGGCGCGCGCTCGTCGCGAGCGCGGTGCAAGCCATCGCGGGTCGATGCCGCGCGGGTCAGGCGTTCACGCTTCCGTCGTCAGATTCGTCGTCGTCGTCCGCGCCCGGTGAGGCGCTCAACTTCGCGGAGCTGTTCGACGGCGCGGTCGTCATCACCGCGCGCGGGGTGTTTCGACCCAAGCCGCCGTTCGCGGACGCGACGCGATGCGACGCGATCCGCGCGGACGCGCGCTACCCGATCGCGTTCGACGTGCAGATCGACGGCGGGGACGCGCGCGTCGCGGGGAAACGGTTCGACCTGCCCATCTGCGGCCCGGGCGAGTTCGAGGTTCTGTACGGCGACGAATGCGTGCGCGTGTTTCGGTCCTCGGGGGGGGTCGCGGTGCAAGTCCCGAGCGACTGGACGCCGCCGAGAGACGCGGAGGAGGAGGAGGAGGAGGAGGAGGAGGACTCGTAGGTAGACGCGTGCGAACGCATCGTTGCGTTATTAGTTTATAACCTTACTGTTGTAGTCTACCTACGCGGCGTCGCCGTCGTTACTAAAGTGCACGTCCGTGTGGCTCACGCCCGACGCGCCGCTCGCGTTTCTGCTGTGCCGCACGAACGCGTTCGCGCCGAAGTTCCGGTTCGCCCCAAACTGCGACCCGGGCGTGGACGGTCGCGAGAACCCGACGGAAGATGACCCGCCCGGCGTGGACGGTCGCGACTGCTGCTGCGGCGGCGGCGGCGGCGGCGGCGTCGACCGCGCCGCCGCCGCCGCCGTCTCGCCGAACGGCCGGCCCAACCGCGGCTGCCGTCGCGTCGGCGACCGCCCCCGGATCGGCGACCCGCGGTTCGAGCCCGCGTTCGAGCCGCCCGCGGCCGCGATCGCCGCGGAAGCGCGCGCCGGCGACGACGGGACCGGGGCCGGGGCCGGGACCGGGACGGACGCCGAGGGGATCACGTCCGCGCCCGCGCGCTCCCGGCTCGCGGCGCCGCGTCGAACTTCGTCGAACAAGACGTCGTCGCTCGCGTCGTGCTCGCTGAACGCGTACTCCCACGCGCTGCCTTCCTCGCCGTACCCTAACCGCGCGTACGCCGTCGCCTGGACGTCGTTCTTCAGGCTCCAACCGAGGTCGACGATGCAGCGGGTGATGACGCACAGCGGGAAGAACAAGACGAGCCACCAGGAGATTTCGCCCGCGTCGTTCCACATCTTCGCGAAGAGCAGCATGAAGGACAACGCGACGGAACACACCGTGAGCGCGTTCACGACGAACCTCGAGCCGTCCGCCATGTTCAGCGGCGTCGTGGACACGACGCGGTATAAAAACACCGTCATGGACGGTAACATGGGCAGCAACATCACCGACGACGAGTCTTGTAACGAGCCGTAGAGCCAGCAGAGGAGGAGCACGACGAAGAACCAGGTGCCGACCAGGAACAGGAGGTACTCCCACCACAGGACGGCGACGACCCTGGGCGCCACGAGCGCGATCGCGAGCTTCCCCGCGTGTTTCGCCATCGGCGCGTGCGGCTGCCCGAAGTGAATATCGCGCGGGGTCCCGTACGTCGTCCAGTCGCAGCTCCTGTGCGCTTCTTGCACGAGGAGCGCGAGGACGGAGAGATCGTCGCCGACGGAATCCGGAAGACCGCCGCCGCCGCCGCCGCCGCCGCCGCCCCCGCCTCCAGGGTTCATCGACGGTGACTTCTTGATCGCCGCCGCCGCCGCCGCCGCCGCCGGCGGCGGCGCCATCGGCGCGAGCGCCTTCTTCTCCGCCGCTTCCTTCTCGCTCGCGACGACGCGCAGTTCGCTCTCGAGCCTCGCGTTGCTCTGCTTCAACGCCTCGATCTGCACGAACAGCGCGACGGTCTTCTCGTCGTCTCTCTCGCTCGCGTCGTCTTCGCCTTCGCGTTCATCTTCGCGTTTAGGGTCCGCCTCCGCCTTCTCCGACCGCGTCTCCGGCGAAGACACTGGTCCCCATACGACCCCGTCGGCGTGGTGAACGCCGTTCCTTAAGGTCTTCGTCGGCGGCGACGGCAGCGGCTCGCGCGCCGCCTCCATCCGCTCGAGCTGCTTCTTCAGCGCCGCGTACTCCACGTAAGTAACGTGGTCCGCCGAAACCGCCGGGTTCGCCTCGACGACGGCGAGCTTCGTCTTCGTCCTCGCGAGCTCGTCCTTCGTCTCCGCGAGCTCCGCCTCGAGCGCCGCGTTCCGCGACTTGAGCGACTCCACATCCTCCGCGGCGGCGAGCTGCTCCGCCTCGAGCGCGGCGACGCGCTTCTTGAGCTTCGGGACCTCGCCGAAGACGTTCGCGGCGGCGACGGCGGCGGCGGGGATCCGCGTCCGCGCCTCCTCCGCCTCCTTCGCCGCCGCGTCCGCCGCGTTCTTCGCCGCCTCCGCCTCCGCGATCGCGCGCTCGCGCTCCGCCGCGGCCGCGCGCTCTCTCTCGAGCGCGGCGTCGAGCTCTTCTCTCGATTTGGACGCCCTCGCCTCCGCGCTCGCCGCCGCCGCCGTCAGGGATTCCACCTCTTCCCTGAGCGCGCGCGTCTCCCTTCGCGTCGCCGCCGCGGCTTCCTCCTCGCCGCTCTCGAGCGCGACCCGCCTCGCCTTCTCCTTCTCGAGCTTCTCGCTCGCCGCCTCGAGCTCTTCTCGCAGCTTGCGGATCTCCTTCGCCTTGTCCAGCTCCGCGCTGTCGGTGACGAAACGCACGCGGTCCTTCAGGCGTTCGATCTCCCCCTCCGCGCCGTCCGCCAACCCGACGATCTTCTCGTTCAGACGTTTCACCTCGCCGTTCGCCTCGTCGAGAAGCTCCGAGAGCCGCCTCGCTTCCGCCTCGCTGAGGTCGATGACGTGGCGCAGCTTCGCGTCGTTCACGTCCGACAGCCGCGCCTGCTCCGCGTCGTGCAGCTCCACGAGGCGCTTCGTCTCCGCGTCGTGCAGCTTCACGAGCCTGATGAGAGTCGTTCCAACAGTACGAAAAGAGTACGTTCGTCGGTCAGTTGAAACGACACGCGATCGAGTGTTGAAACCGAGCGACGGGTGAGAAACAAACGTTCGCACAAACGAACGCGCCTGCGAACCTCCGCCTCCAGCCGTTGCACCTTCCCCGGGAGCTCGCCGCTCGCGACGCCCGCGGCGGCAGCCTCGCTCCGCGCGTCGATGAGCTCCCGTCGCGTCGCGTCGAGCTGCTCCGAGAGCCGCCTCCCGCGCTCGTCCGCGGCGCCGAAGTCCCCCGCGGCGAGGTCGAGCTCCTCCGCGAGCCGAGCCGCCTCTCTCTTCGGGTCGTTCCATACAAAGCGATGTCGGGGTGGAGTTCAAAGGCGTCAGTTGGCGTTGAAAGGCAACGCGGGCGGGGATTGAAAGCGAGGGATGGGCGGAGAGAGAGGACGGCAAAAGTCCTTAAGGAACGGCGTTCACCACGCCGACGGGGTCGTATGGGGACCAGTGTATAGAACGCGCCTTCGCCTCCTCCGTCGCCTTCAGCGCCCTCTGCAGCTCCTCGTCCTTCATCGCGGCCGCGACGGAGTCCTTGTCGCGCGTCAGCAGGTCGTGCCGCAACGTCGCGAGCTCTTCGTCCAGCCCGAGGCGCTTCGTGCGCTCTTCGCGGTACTGATCCTCCCTCGACTTGAGCCGCGTCTCCGCCTCCTCCACGCTCGACTCCAGGTCGCCGATTTTTCGCTCCGCCGCGGCGAGCGATCGCCGCGCGCTCGCGTACGCGTTCCCGTGCTCCGTCCCCAACAGCATGAGCTCCCGCCGGTGCCTGTCCTCCGCGTGCGCGACCGCGGCGCGCAGCGCGTCCGCCTCGACTCTCGCGTGGTCGCTCCTTCCCGCGTGGTCGCGAGTCGCCTCGTACAACGCGCGGAATTTATTCGCCTCCGCCGCCGCCGCCGCCGCCGACGCGTTCGCCTTCGCGCGCTCGTCCTTCAACTCCTCGATCTCCTCCAGGAGTCTGAGCTGTTCCGTCCGCGCCTGTGAATGCGCGCGCTCGATCCCCGCGCGCGCCGCGCGCGTCTCCTCTCTCGCGCGGTGGACTTCCTCGTACGCGGCGCGGTCAAAAGCTCCGTCGTCGTTCGCCGCGTCCGCGTTCGCCGCATTCGCCGCCGCGAGCGCGAGCGAAGGCGAAGGCTCGACGCCGCCGGTCTTGGTCTTGTCGTGCTCCGCCTCTCTCTTCTTCCGCGCCGCCTCTCGCGTCAGCGCGCGCTTGACGTCCTCCATCGCGTCAGCGACCGCCGCGGCGAGCGGCTCCAGGTCGGCTCTCAGACGCGTCGTCGCCGCCTTCTCCGCGTTTACGCGCTCGGTGAACGCCTCGCTCGCGCTCGACAGCGCCTTCGCGGCCTCGATCTCCTCGCCCTGGCGCTGCTGCAAGACGAGCGACGCGAGGCGCAACTCCTCGAGCGCGTCCGTGCAGTTCTTGTCCGCGCTCTTCGACGGCGTGGGGTACCACTTGCGATGCCCCGCGAGCCTGACGCCCGCGCGCTTGATGTACGCGTCCGCGTCTTGGTAGGAGATCAGGTCGTTCTCCTCCTTGACGTTCCACCATTTCGTCTCCAGCGAGACGCGCTGCCTGTGGCTGCGCTCGATGTCCGCGTCGGAGGACGTCGCCCTGCGGACGAGGTCGCGCAGCGACGCGAGCTGCTCCTGCACGAGCGCGGCCTTGTCCTCGAGGTCCGCGTGATGCGACGACTCGTCGTCGAAGAGATCGCGCCGACGACGACGCGTCGACGGGACGTCGCCGCGGTCCCCGAGTGGGGGGGGGACCGGCGCGAGCCCGTACGGGTCGTACGGGTCGTTCACGCCCATCGCGTTCGCGAGCGGTGTCCGCGCGAGCGACGCCCGTCGCGGCAAGCTGTGCGCGTCCGTCGGTACGTTCGAAGACTTCGTTGTTATGTCACCAACGGCCAGACGACACTTGAAAAGTGCTTTTTTCGGGTAGTACGGAATGCGTACGTTTCCTTACCACGACTCCATACGGAAAGCGCATTCACCTGGCATTCACGCCTGTGATTGGTCGGTAGACTTTCCAGGTGTTATTCCGACGCGCCTCTCGTTCATATTTTTTCACGCGGCGCGGATCGTTTTTTTCCCCTTTCGAGATCGCCCTTGCAATCGGCGCGCGATCACTTCGCTTCCGCGCGTGAACGCTGATCAGAACCCCTCGGGAGCTTATCAACCCCCGTCACTCGCAATGGGCGCCGAATCCGCGCCGATCGTCCAGCAGCCGACGTTCAAGTTCTCCGATGCGGAGAAGAAGAAAATACGATCGGTGTTCGACAAGTGCGACGCGGACAAAAACGGCGTCGTGTCCCTCGAGGAGCTCATGAACGCGGTGACCGGGAGCTCGTCCATCGCGGAGACGCTCGGCATCCCCCCGGACGTCGCCAAGGGCACCGACAACGGCCTCAAGGATCTCTTCCTCTCCCTCGACGTCGACGGGTCCGCGGGCCTCGACCCGGACGAGTTCGCGCAATTTTTCGCGGAGCGCCAAGAGATCTTGATGTTCCTTCCCGAGGACGGCGACGAAGCGCGCAACGACCTCGTCCAGGAGCAGTGGAAGAAGGCGTTCTTCTTCCCGAACAAAGATAAGTTCGCATCGATCCTCGCCGGGATCATGCACCCGCCCGCGATGGACGCGTGCGTCGAGGGCCTCGACGACCAGTGCAAGCTCCCGCCGCAGCTCAAGCCCTTCGGCTACTACGCGTACACCGTCGGGCTTCCGATCGAGAGGTTCGAAGAGGCTGGCAAAGAGCTCAGAGCGCTCGTGAAGCAGCTCGTCGTCGAGAAGGGCGGCGCGTACGACGACGCGAGCGAGGCGGCGTGGACCTCCGTGTGGAGCCTGTTCGTGGGCATCATGAAGCGCGGCTACCGCGACGCGCAGGCGGATGCCAAGGTGGCCGCCGCGGCGAACGTCGAGGCGGCGAAGGCGGCGGAGAAGGCCAAGGCGGACGAGAAGGCCGCCGCGGAGGCTGCCGCGAAGGAGGCGAAGAATGCGGCGGACAAGGCGGGAACCGAGGAGGCCAAGGCTGCCGCGGAAGCCGCCGCGAAAGCCGCGGAGGCGAAAGCCGCGGAGGCGAAAGCCGCCGCGGAGGCCATCAAAGCCGCCGAGGAGGACAAAAAGAAGAAGGAGAAGGAGGCTGCCGCCGCGGAGAAGGAGAAGGCCGCGGAGGAAGCCGCGGCGAAGAAGCGTCGCGAAGAGCTGGCGAAGAAGAAGGAGGCGGAGAAAAAGGCGCGCGAGGCGGAGCTCGCCAAGATGTCCCCCGAGGACCGCGCCGCCGCGGAAGCCGCGGACAAAGCCGCGGAGGAGGCGAGAATCAAGGCGAAGCAGGAGAAGCTCGAGAGGAAGGCGTCGGAGCGGAAGCGGGCCGATGCCGGGTGCTGCGTCGTCATGTGAGCGTGTTTAATTTGACGCGCGTCGCGTCTATGTGAACGTCCGCGGCCACAGCGGACGTTCACGCCTACGTTTTTGAATTGTTGACCCACCCTGTACATACAGTGTGCGCGTGCGCGCGGCGTGAAGTAGACGATATGTTTAGTATTTGTTTTAATCATGTTGATACGCTACAGTAGTACAGCACGACCGCGCGCGAACGAACGCGGCGCGTCACCCCGTGAACGTCCCCACGGACGCGAGGAAGTCCGCGTAGTCTAACGTCTGGTCCCCGTGCGCGACGGCGTTTTTATCCTCGGGCACGAACAGCTTCGGCAGGCTCTCTTTCGAGTCCACGTGCTTCGCTCCCGCGACGTCCACGACGACCGCGCCGTGCTCCTCGAGCCACGTCACACACGCGGCTTCTTCGTCCTCGCTCGGCGGCGGCAGCGTCTCTCTCGGAACGACGGCGGCGGTCTCCTCCCCGTCGCGTTCGCCGCCGAGAGCGCCGCATCCGCTAGCCTTCGCGTCCATCTCCTCCTCCGCCCTGTCGCCGCTGAACCCGAGCACGTGCGCGAGGTGAGTCACCGGCACCGTGGGCTTGCACACCGTCGCCATCATCGTGACGTGTTTAAACCGCACCTCCTCGGTTCGGACGTCCATGAGCTCCTTTCCCAAGCCGAACTTTTTCGCGGCGACGCGCAGCCGGAACCAGTCGACGGCGTTGTCCTCCTTGAGCGCGCTTCTCACCGCGAGCGCGTGCGCGATCGCGGGATGCGAGCGCATCGCGCACGCGGTCGCGAGCACGGTGTTGATGTTCGACCCGGTCACGCCCGTCACGGCGCTGTACAGAACCCTGTACGCGAGGAATTCCATCTCCTCTCCCTCGACGCCTTCGCCGTAGAGCGTCTTGAGCACCGTCTGACACTGGTTGAACTCCCCCAGGTCGTCGTTCTGCAGCGCGACTCTCGCGTGGTGCTCGTACACCTCCGCGGTGAACGCGTTGCGGAGCCTCTGCACCGTGCAGTCCTGCCGCAGCGCCTTGAGCTGGTCCGTGAGGTAGTGGTACGATTCCCCTTTCGCGGCGGATTTCAGACGCGCGAGGGATTTTTCAAGCACCGGTTGCGGCCGCACCGTCGCCGGGTCGGGCGCGGACGTGAGACGGAAGTACGACTTCTCCAGCCTCTCGCACGTGCCCTTGATCGTGAGCGCGTCCCACGTCTGCTCTTTTTCCGTCGTCGTCTGGTTCTCCATCGTACCCGCGGTGGACAGCATCATGCTCTCCATGCGTTTTTTGCGCTCCGCGGCGGCGGCGGCGGCGGCGCCGCCGCCTCCCACCGTCGCGCCGTCGCCGAACCGTCCGCTCCGTTTCGCCCGTTTCGCCTTCTCCGCGTCCGTGAGCTCATCGCCGAGCTCTCCGAGGTCGCCCCCGACGCCGGCCGCGATCGGAGGCGCGTCGTCCTCGTCGAACCCCGCGAGTCTTTTCTTCTTCCCTTTCCCCGCCGCCGCGGCGGCTCTCTTCGCGGCTCTCTTCGACTGCTGCGGCGCCGCCTTCAACGGCGGGCCCGGCTCGTCGATCTCGTCCTCTCCCCCGGACAGCTCCCCGTACCCGTACCCCCCCGCGTGCTGCGCGACGACCGGCCGCGCCGCCGCCGCCTCCGCCGCGGGTCGGTACCCGAACCCGGGGACGTACGTCATCTCCGTCTCCGGTCCCCCCCCCGCGCCGCCGCCGCCTCCCTCTCCCGGCCTGGGCACCGTCGCGCGGTCCCAGTCGCGCGTCCACAGCGTGTTCGTGTTCGACGCGTCGTTTATCATGCGCTTCAGCTCGTCCTGGACGTGATCCTTCGCGGAGGGGTCCGCGCGGCACGCCGCGAAGCATCGCTCGACGAACGCCTTCAGCGCGGGCGGCCACTGCCTGTTTCCGCCCGAAGCCGCCGGCTGCTGCGGCGCCGGCGCCGGCGCGTGTCCCTGCGTCGACGCCATCGGCTGCGAGGACGCGGGTCGGAACCCCGGGAGCGTCGCGCGCGGCGCGATCCCGGGCGCCAGCGACGGGTTCGCTTGGATCCCCGGAGGTCTCGGGAGCTGATACGACGGCGTCGGATGCGGATGCGACGCCGGCGCGGGGATCTGGTGCTGGTACTGCGGCTGCGGCGCGGGGATCTGATGCTGGTACTGCGCGTGCTGCGCGTGCTGCTGCTGCTGCTGCTGCTGCGCGTAGTACGCCGCGTGCTGCTGCTGCTGCGCGGCGTAGTACGGATGCGCCGCCGCCGCCGCCGCCCCGGGCTGGGTCGGCGGCGTCTGGTACGCCGCATTCGCCCCGCCGACCGGCTGCTGCCCCGTCGCCGCGTAGTACTGCCTCCACGCCTCCGCGTTCGCCGCCTGCGCCGCGGCCTGATGCCGGTAGTACTCGTCCCACGCGCGTCGGTTCGCCTCCTGCGCGGCCGGGTCCGCGGGGATCATGCTGGGCGTGCCCCCGGCGCCCCGCGCGGTGTGATCGCGGCCGGAAAGAATCGAGCCCTTTTGCGCAGCTCGGGCGCGGTCACTATCTTATACCTGTATCATAGTCACAGGCGAGGGTTGAACAGACAGTCAGGTCACGTCGGCCTTTCGCGTGTCTACCTACCTACGTCGTCATCGTCATCATCTAAGACGTGCTAGCTAGCTATCAGTCGAAGTCCACAACGCCGGTTCCTCGTCGTCGTCGTCGTCGCCGTCGCCGTCGGACTCGTCGTCGTGCGACGCCTCCTCGTCCTCCTCCTCCGAGTCCGGGGTCGCGTCGGAATCCAAACACGAATCTAAATCCAAATCGTCGTCGGCGTCGTCGTCATCGGCGTCCGACTCCGCGGGTTTCCGCGGCCGGAACGGCACCGTCGCGGCGGCGCGGAAGAAATCCTTCGCGGGCGGCGGCGGTGCGCTCCCCTCCGTCGCCGCGATCTTCTTCTCCGCCTTCGCGCGAAGAGGCTCTCTCTTCTCGTCCCTCCCCCCGCCCCCGCCCCCGCCGCCGTCGCCGTCGTCGTCCGTCTCCCACCACGGTTTTTTTCTCGTCATCGGCACGCCGCCCTCCGCGGGCTCCGCCGCCGCCGCCGCCGTTCGCTTCGCTTCCGGACGTTTCAGCGCGACCTCCTTCTTCGGCCTCGCCTTCGTCGTCGCCGCCGCCAGCGGCGGCGGCGGCGCGTCGTCGTCGTCGTCGTCGTCGTCGTCGTCGTCGTCATCGCCTAAGAACGCGGACAACATACGCAACTCGACGCTGTCGCCGGTTTTACGACGCTTCCCTCCGCCGTCGCCGTCGTCGTCGTCGTCGTCGCGGCCGAGGCCGAACTTGTTCTCCGCGGTCCCGCGCTCCGCCCGTTTCGCGGCCGCGGCGGAGTTGAAGAACTCCCTCGGCAGCCTCCCTCGCGGTCGATCCGCCGCCTCATCCTTCGCGCCGTCGTCGTCGTCGTCGTCGCTCGCTTCGCCCTCGATCACCTCCACCGCGCCGTCGTCGTCCTCGCGCTCTCGCCGCCGCGCCGCGGGCTTCGGCTTCCAGAACACCATCCCGGGGAGCTGGCACAGCCGCCGCGCGGTGTGATCGCTCGCGTCGTCCTCGAACGGCGTCCAGTCCGCGCGCGCGTCGGACTCGATCTCCTCGAAGGTCGTCTTCTTCTTCCCGCCCGCGCCGTAGGTCACCGCCACCTTGACGTTCCGCTCGCGGCCGTCGATCTCGAGCGCGTCGCCCTCGCGCAGCGGCCGCCGCGGCTCCGGCGCCGGAGCGTCTTCTCCTAAAGACGCGTCTTCGTTACGTTTCTTCGACTCGGGGGTCGCGCGCGCCACCGGCGGCGCCGCCGCGGGCGCGCCGAGCGCGCGCCGCACGAAATCGGGGAGGAACCCCGTCTGATCGCCGTACTCCTCGTCTGAGTACGCGGTGATGTCCTCCCACACCTCGTCCGCGATCTGCTTCTTCGCGCGCCGCGACTCCGCGAGCGCGGCGGCCGCGACCGCGTCGAGCGCGCCCTCGCGCTCGAGCCTGAGGCGCTCCTCGAACGCGGGCTTCGCGTGGTGCACCGCCATGACGCCACCCTTCCACTTGCATCCGTTGTACAGCGACACGCACCGGCCCAAGGACTTCTGGTTCGTGCGGAGCTCCACGAACGCGTACCCGCGGCACGGCGGAGTTTTTCGGGCGATCGCTCTGCTGCGCTTTCTTCCTTGAGAGACTCGCGGCGCGGATCCGTCGTCGTCGTCGTCGTCGTCGTCGTCGTCGTCGTCGTCGTCGTCGCGACGGTAAAACGGCGAGTCGAACTTCTCGCGCATCACCGAGCACTCCACGACGGACCCGAACGGCGCGAACCTCGACCTGAGCTCGTCGTCCGTGAGTTCGCGCGGGAGGCCGCCGACGTGCAGCCGCGCGCGGACGCTGCCGTCCGGATCGGGCGGGAGGACCGCGGCCATCGCGGCGGCGCGCGTGGAACTCTGCGGCGGCGCGGCGGCGCGGCGGCGGCGCGAGGATTCGTCTGTACAAATTTTGCTTGACCGCCTTCGGACGTTTCCGAGACGACGCGACGTCGACGACGCCGTCCGTCATCGTCAGAGCGGCGCGCGCGGGGAGGATGCCGCAGGCCGAGATCGAGCTCCAGGACCCGGCGGCGGCGCGTCCGTCGCCGGTGGACGACGGCGACGACGTCCTCCTGAAGCCGTCGTCCAGCGGCGCGCGCGACCGACGCGGCGCGCCGCTGTTCGACGACGACGACGACGACGCGAGTCATCGTCCCGGCGCGACGAATGATCCTCCGGAATCTCGCGGCGCGCTCGCGCGCCTCGCCGCCGCGCTCGCGGCGGAACCTCTCCTCGCGAAGACGCTCGCGGGCGTCGTCGTCGGCATCGTCCTGGGCGCGATCGTCCGCGCGACGGACCCGACCCCGCGCGCGATAGAGCTCGTCGGCTTCCCGGGCGAACTCTTCATGCGACTCCTGCGCGCGCTGGTGCTCCCACTCATCGTCGTCTCCATGGTGTGCGGCGTGTGCTCGCTCGCGAAGGGCTCGGAAGGGTCCGCGCGGCGCGTCGCGACGCGGCTCCTGGCCGCGTACGCCATCACGTCGCTCGTCGCGTGCGCGCTCGGGCTGCTCGTCGTGAGCGTCGCGCGCCCGGGCGACGGCGTGTCGTTCGACGCGAACGGATGCGCCGGCGCCGGCGCGACGAACGGCACCGTCGCCGGCGCCGCGACGTCGGACGACGACCACGCCGCGGACGCGCACAGGGGCGCGCTGGACGCGATACTCGGCACCGCGAGAGCGGCGGTGACCCCGAACGTCGTCGCCGCGGCCGCGGACGGCAACATCCTCGGCGTCATCGTCGCGTCGCTCGCGTTCGGGGCGTCGCTCGCCGCGGTGGGCGAAGACGTCGCGCGGCCCATCGTGGACGTCTTCTTCAGCATGAACGTCGTCGTGCAGACGATGATCGCGTGGGCGTTGACGTTGATGCCGGTTGGGGTGTTATCCCTCGTCGCCGGGAGAGTCGCGGCGACGTGCGACGCCGGCGCGGTGCTCGTCGCGCTGGGGAAATACGTCGCGACGGTGACGTTCGCGTTGGCGGCGCACGGCGGCGGCGTGTTGCCCGGGTTGTACGCGCTCGCGACGCGGGGGATGGGGGTTACGCGCGGCGGCGGCGAGAAGCGGCGGTGGGCGTCGCTGGACGGCGGCGAGGGAGGGGGTGGGGGTGTTACGGGCGACGGCGGCGGCGGGGAGGTGCACGGGGCTGTCGAGGTGTTACGGAGGAGCGCGCCCGCGCTCGGGTGCGCGTTCGCGATCGACTCGTCGTCCGCGACGCTGCCCGTCACGCTTCGATGCGCGAAGACGCTGGGGATACCGACCGACCTCGCGGAGTTCGCGCTCCCGCTCGGGGCGACGATCAACATGAACGGCACCGCGCTGTACGAGGCGTTGACGGTGATTTTCATCGCGCAGCTGCACGGGGTGAAGCTCGGGATCGGGACGACGATCGTGATCGCGTTGACGTCGACGATCGCCGCCGTCGGCGCCGCCGCGATTCCGAGCGCGGGTTTAGTCACGATGCTCATAGTGCTTCAGGCGGCGGGACTCGAGGAATTCAGCGGCGACATCGGGATTCTGATGTCCGTGGATTGGTTCCTCGACCGGTTGAGGACGGTCGTGAACGTGGAGGGGGATCTGTTCGTCGCGAGCGCCGTCGCCGCGTGGGAGGGGAAGGAGGGAGGCGGCGGCGGCGACGACGGCGGCGACGACGACGACATCTTCGACGAGACGACGATTCGAAACGAGGCGTAGTAGCGTGGTAGTAGCGTGGTAGTAGCGTGGTAGTAGCGTGTGACCAACGACCGACGAAACCAAACCAAAGCGCTTCCTTCACAGCAGCCCGCGCTGCTGCCTTCCCGGTATCGCCTGCCCGGCGCCGCACGTCGCGGCGTAATCGGAGCAGCACCCCAAGAACCCCGCGGGCTGCCCCGGCGCGTTCGCGTTCCACGTCGAGCAGTCCGGGTCGCAGCAGCACACGAACGAGCTCTGATCCGAGGATTGCAAGCACGAGTTGCACTGCGGTATGGACGCGCAGCTCCCGGGTTGCGTTTGCACGGGGGAGACGGCGCCGCCGGGTTGAGCGCCGAACCCGGGTTGAGCGCCGAACCCGGGCTGCGCGCCGAACCCGGGTTGAAACTGAGACGGTTGACCCACGCCCGCGCCCGGTTGACCCACGCCCGCGCCCGCGCCCGGGACGCCGCCCACGACGCCGCCTCCCAGACCCGGCTGCGCGACCCCGCCTCCCGGGAAGCCGCCTACGCCGCCGCCCGGCACCACGCCCGGCTGGAGCGTCGGCTGCGGAAGGGGCGTGGGCAGCGGCGCGAGCGCCGGCGGGTTCGGCGGCGCGGCGGGAAAGCCCGGCAGCGGCGGCGGCGCCGCGGGCCTCGGCGGCGGCCGCGGCGGGTTCGGCGGGTTCGGCGGGCCCGGCGGCCGCGGCGGGCACGAGAACGGCAGCGGCCTCGGCTGCTCCCACGCGCACAGCTGCAGCTTCTCGTTGAAGGTGGAGTAGTCGCCGCGCGCGCACTCGTACGACGCCTGAGACGCGCACGCGCCGCCGTCGCAGTCCCAGCACGCGTAGTATCGGCGGCAGTCGCACCCGGCGCAGTCGCAGTCGCACGCGCGCGTAGTATCGGCGTAGTACCTCTCCTCGGACTTGTCCAGGCAGAACGCGTTCTCGCCCGCGGTGGAGATTGGATTCGCGTCGTCGTCGTCGTCGTCTCTTCGGCCGGTCGACGCCTTCGGAGGCCCGCCGCCGCCGACGCGCGGCGCGTCGTCTTTCGTCTTCTCTTCTTCGTCTTCTTCTTCCTCCTGCTCGAGTTCGCTCTCCTCCTCTTTCGCGGGATTCCCGCGGAGATCGAGACCGAGCCTGTCCGCGACCGCTTCCCAGAACTTCGCGGTGGGCAACACCCCCCCGGCGCCGCCGCTGACGTCGACTAACACCGCGTCGTCTTCGTCGTCGTCGTCGTCGTCGTCGTCGTCGTAGTCGTTTTGGTTTTGGTTTTGGTATCCGTCGTCTTCCTCGACGACGTCCGCGACGACGCCCTCTTCGACGACAGGCGGCGGCGGTGCGATCGGAGGCGGCGACGGCGACGGAGGCGGAGGCGACGGCGACGGAGGCGACGGCGACGGAGGCGACGGCGACGGAGGCGACGGCGACGGTTCTTCCGGAATCGTCGGGACGACGCGCGGCGTCGGCGGCGGCGCGGCGGTCGCGTCCGTCTCCGTCTCCTCCTCCTCCTCCTCCTCCTCCGCGGGCGCGACGAAGTACGCGACGGACGACGGCGACGGCGCGGGCGCCGCCGTCGGCGGATCCGGCGCGCGGACGGGCGCGTCGTCGTCGGCGTCGTCTTCCACGTCCACGGCGATCGGCGCGGCGAAGAGCGCACTCGCGCCCGGGCCCGGCGCGGGCGCGAAGAATAACGCCGCGTCGCCGTTCGCTTCCGCGACGACGCCGGCGACGCCTCTCTCGCCGTCGCCGCCTCTCTCGTCGTCGCCGTTCGCCTCGCACGCCTCCGCGTAATCGTCGCAGCAGTCGCCCGCGTCCGCGCACGTCGGTTCGCAGCAGCACGACACCCTCGAGGGGTCGTCGCGCTCGTACCAGCAGCTTCCGCACGCGTCGACGCACGAGCCGAACGCGGGCGACCGCGACCGCGGCGGCGGCGACTGCGCGGACGCGGCGCGCGCGAGGAGGAGGAGGAGGAGGAGGACGGCGACGCGCGCGGCGGCGGCGGCGGCGGCGGCGGCGTCGCGCGCGCGGCCGCGCGTCATCGCGAGTGCGAGCGAAGGGACGCGACGGCGACGGCTCGCGCGTCTCGCGCGCTCGGGTTTCTCGGAAGCGCCTCCAAGCCTCGGGTTCGCTGACTCCGCTTGTGATGTGCTTAGTCGGTACAAACGTTTTTCACCCACTCCGTAGTTTCAACATGTGATCGCTTCCCCTTTCAACTGACCGATGAACTTTGTTTTGCACGGTTCGACCCCGAGAAAACTGACAGACGGCGGAATAGAAACTCGTCGAAGGATGATGAGTCACGGTAAATTTAGACCGTCGTTTTCGAGTCGTCTCGACCTGATCAGATAAAGCGCCGGCGTTTGTGGCAGAGGACTCCGCGAGCGCGAACGCCGACGTTCCGAGTCGAAAAGAAAAGCGCGTCGACGACGCGGCGGCGACGCACATCACGGCGCGTCGCGACCTCGCTCGCCCACGTTTTCACCCCGCGGAAGAACCTTCCTCACCCCCTCAAGCGATATGTACGCCAACGGCGTCATGGCCGCGACGCCCGCGACGGCGTCCGGCGCGGTCCGTCTCGGGCGTCGATCCGGCGCCCTCGGCGGTGGCCGTCACGCGGTCGGCGCGAACGCCTTCGCGGGGAACGTCAAGGCGTTCAAGACGCGCGCGACGCTCGGCCGCAAGGCGTCCGCCGCGGTCCCTCTTCGCGTCGTCGCGGAGAAGGTGGTCGGCATCGATCTCGGGACGACGAACAGCGCGGTGCGTCTTGAACGCGCGTTTCCGTCCGCGCGCCGTCGCACCGGCGTTCGGATGGATTTCCATCCTCGACACCGCGAATGAATCCTCTCGCATCGTTTTTCAGGGCTCAGGGTTTGGGTGACGCGCGCGGCGAGCGACGACGCGCGCGCGCGCTCGCGCGCGAACCCCGGGAGCTCTCCCGACGCGGCGCGTCGCGAGACGCGCGCGCGGCGCGGAGCTCTTTTCGTCGATTCGAAACCCCGAAGCGGAGGAGTAATCCTTTCGTCGATTCGATCGCACCCCCGCCGTGTGGCAATTCCGAGACGGCTCGATCAATCAATTGACGCCTCCGCTCCCCTCGTCCGCCGCCCGCCCCCCCTCCCCGCCCAGGTCGCCGCCATGGAAGGTGGCTCCCCGACGATCGTCACGAACGCAGAGGGCGGCCGCACGACGCCGTCCGTCGTCGCGTACGCGAAGAACGGCGACAGGCTCGTCGGACAGGCGCGTCTCGCCGCCGCGCGCGATCACGCCGCCACGTCGTTGTTTTTCCGTTCCGTCTCCGAAGGCGCCTTCTTTTTTCGAAGCCTGAAACCAGCCGTCTTCTCCCTCGCTCCTCTCGGCGTCGCTCCCTCCCTCCTTCCCTCCCCGCTGACGTCCCTCCCCTCCACCCCCCGCCCCCCCCGCGATCTCCCCCGCGCCCCCGCTCGACGACTCTTTAACAGATCGCGAAGCGCCAGGGCGTCGTTAACCCCGAGAACACCTTCTTCTCCGTCAAGCGCTTCATCGGCCGCCGGTGGGACGAAGTCGGCGAGGAGGCGAAGGAGATCCCGTACACGGCCAAGAAGAGCGAGAACGGCAACGTCAAGCTCGAGTGCTCCGCCGCGGGCAAGGACTTCGCCGCGGAGGAGATCTCCGCGCAGGTGCTCCGCAAGCTGTGCGACGACGCCGCGTCCTACTTTGGCGACACGGTGACCAAGGCTGTGATCACCGTCCCCGCCTACTTCAACGACTCGCAGCGTCAGGCGACGAAGGACGCGGGCGCCATCGCCGGCGTCGAAGTTCTGCGCATCATCAACGAGCCGACCGCGGCGAGCCTCGCGTACGGCTTCGAGAAGAAGTCGAACGAGACGATCCTGATCTTCGACCTCGGCGGCGGCACCTTTGACGTGTCCATCCTGGAGGTTGGCGACGGCGTCTTCGAGGTGCTCTCCACGTCTGGCGACACGCACCTCGGCGGCGACGACTTCGACAAGAGGATCGTGGAGTGGCTCGCGAAGGACTTCCAGTCCGCAGAAGGGGTCGACCTCATCAAGGATAAGCAAGCGCTGCAGAGGCTCACCGAGGCTGCGGAGAAGGCGAAGATGGAGCTGTCGTCCACGCCCTCCGCGTCCATCTCTCTCCCGTTCATCACCGCCACCGCCGACGGCCCGAAGCACATCGACACCAACCTCACCCGCGCCAAGTTCGAGGAGCTCTGCGACGACCTCATCACGCGCTGCAAGGTCCCGGTCGAGAACGCGCTCCGCGACGCGAAGCTATCGCTCGACGAGATGGACGAGGTGATCCTCGTCGGCGGCTCCACGCGCATCCCCGCGGTGCGCGCGCTCGTGAAGAAGCTCACGGGGAAAGACCCGAACATGTCGGTCAACCCGGACGAGGTCGTCGCGCTCGGCGCGGCGGTGCAAGCTGGCGTCCTCGGCGGCGAGGTGAGCGACATCGTCCTCCTCGACGTCACGCCGCTGTCGCTCGGTCTCGAGACGCTCGGCGGGGTCATGACGAAGCTCATCATGAGGAACACGACGTTGCCGACGTCCAAGTCCGAGGTGTTCTCCACCGCGGCGGACGGGCAGACCTCCGTCGAGATCAACGTGCTTCAGGGCGAGCGCGAGTTTGTTAAGGACAACAAGAGCCTCGGGAACTTCCGCCTCGACGGGATCCCGCCCGCGCCGCGCGGGGTGCCGCAGATCGAGGTCAAGTTTGACATCGACGCGAACGGCATTCTTTCCGTCTCCGCCGCGGACAAGGGCACGGGCAAGGCGGCGGACATCAAGATCACCGGCGCGTCGACGCTCAGCGAGGATGAGGTCGAGAAGATGGTGAAGGACGCGGAGGCGTTCGCGAGCGAGGACGCGGAGAAGCGCGACGCGGTGGACACGAAGAACTCCGCGGACTCCATGGCGTACCAGACCGAGAAGCAGCTCGAAGAGTTTGGCGACAAGCTTCCGGAGGAGGTCAAGGAGAAGGTCAAGGGGAAGGTCGCGGAGCTCAGGGCGGCGATCGAGGCGGACAACCTCGCGGACATGAAGACGAAGCAGGAGGAGCTGCAGACGGAGGTGATGGCGATGGGCCAGTCGATGTACCAGGGGGGCGAGGGTGGCGCGCCTCCTCCGCCGGGCGGCGGCGACGCGGGCCCGGGCGGGCCGCCCCCGCCGGGCGGCGGCGCCCCGGACGACGTCATCGACGCCGAGTTCTCCTCCGACAAGTAAACGCGTCCGTTATCGTCTCGTCTTCCGTCGACGGAGGAGGGACAGACGCGCAGCACGCCTCGAGGGTGAACGACCTCCGCATCCGCATCTACAAACGCTTGAAACAAACGAAAACATTGTGTAGGGTGTCGCGTTGACACCGGTTCGCTTTTATAATAATACCGTTCGCGATCATCAATCACGAGAATAATAATGAGCGCTTGCTTATTACTTCCGTCGCCCGTCGCGCCGTGCCCGCGCTCATCACGACGACTTCATCATGACCCTCCCCCCGTGCTTCCTCTGCGCGCGTTTCGCTTGCTTTTCCTTCCACTTCGCCTTCTCCGCCGCGGTCATCTTCTCCAGCTTCGCGTCCTGCCTCGCCCGCGCCTCCTTGGCCTGAGGGTCGTTCCATACAAAGCGATGTCGGGGTGGAGTTGAAAGGCGTCAGATGGAGTTGAAAGGCGTCGAGGGCGGGTATTGAAAGCGAGGGACCCTGGGCGGAGAAAGACGACGGCAAAAGTCCTTAAGGATCGGCGTTCACCACGCCAACGGGGTCGTATGGGGACCAGTGTACAGAACGCGCCTGATTCTCCTTGCGATTCTTCGACGCGTCCTCCTCTCTCCTCCGCGCGCGACGCTTCTCCGCGAGCTCCTTCTGCGCGCCGCTGAGCCGCACCCTCGCGACGCGATCGACGAGATGCGGCACGAGCTTTAAGAGCTCGCCGTGCGCTTCCCGCATCGCGTCCGCGGTGACGCGCTTCGGAACGCGAAACGCGAACCGAATCGTCCACGACCCCGTCAGACCGAGGCGGTTGTACTCCGCCGTCGTCGCCTCGTTCGCGCAGTGCGCGTGCAGCAAGTGCTTCCCGTGCGTCGAGCTCGCGGCCGCCTCCCCGAGCGCGAGCTCGCACACGACGTCGGACACGACGTCGCTCGCGAGCTCGGAGCTCTCGGCCTTCACGACGACCGCGTTCGACGTCTTCTTCGTCCCCGCGAGCGGCCCTGAGCCGTCCCGGTGCTTCACGACGGCGACGGACATGAGACGCGCGACGTCGTCGGCGACCTTCTCGAGCTTCGCCATCCCTCGCGTCGTGCCGAACGCGAAGCCGCATCCGGGCGAGATGCCCGCGTCGTCTCGCATGACGCACTCGACGACGCACGTGTCGTGGGGGTCCGCGGGCGGCAGCGTCGGCGTCTTGTTCTTGGAGTCCAGGTACCGGAAGAAGAGCGCGAACGGATCGGTGCGATTGCGCATCTTCAGCGTGACCACCGCCGCCTTGACGAACCGCCGCCCGGTCGCGTACAGGCGGTACTCGTCCGGACCTTCCCTGGTGAACATCGAGCCCTTATATGGCCCCGCCCCGGCCTCGGGCCCCGCGCCGACGATCGCGAAGTTCTTCATGAGGACGCCGTCGGGCCGCGCGTGCGCCTCCTCCCACGCGCGCACGATCGCGCGATTTTTCCGGTCGCCGACGACGTAGAAGGCGAGGTAGCCCGCGATGAGGAGCGGGAAGAGGAGCTCGTACTTCCACTCGAACACGGGCGGGTAGTCGCCGTAGCGCTCGCGCATTTTGCCTTTGAACGCGCGGTCGCGCGACGCGCGCTTGTCCGACGGAGGCGGCGACGCGTCGTCCGCGTCGAGAGGCGCTCTTGACGCGTCGTCCTTCGACGCTCTCGCCGGCGGGGCGTCGAACTCGTCGTCGTCGTCCCAGTCCGCGCCGGAGGCGGACGCGCGCGTCGGCGCGAAGAGGAGGACGCCCAAGAGAAGCGCGCACGCGATCGCCCAAACGCGTCGACGAAGCATGGCGACGGACGCGCGCGCGGGGGCGATGGGGAATGACTCGGATCTACGCGCCGAGCGATGACTGGAAGGAATAAATATCCTACTGTATGTCAGAACACCCATCATCCCATCGGCTGCGCTACGTATGCTAGCTAGTTCGACGCGGTCCAGAACGTCTCCTCGTTGTCCTTGCCGTAGCCGACGTACCGCGGCCTCGGCTTCCCGCTCGGGGTGTAATACTTCAGCCACGCCTTGATCCCGCCGCGCATCTCCACGACGCGCACGTACCCTTCGCTCACCAGACGACGCAACGCCGCCGCCGCGTATTTCGCGCCGTCGTCGTCCCCTGGGTGAATGACGACCACCGGCCTCGACGCGTCCACGCCGAGCTCTCTCAACGTCGACGCCATGCCGTCCACGCACGGCGTCACGACGCGGTCGCTCACGCCGCCGGACAGCGTCGCCGCGGGCGCGGATACCGACCCCGCGATCGCCTCGCGGTCGTGGTCCCTCCTCGGGCGCACGTCCACCGCGACGGCGCACGCGTCCGCGTCTCGCAGCAGTCGGAAGCACTCGATCGCGTCGAGGCACGTCCACGGCGGGGGAGCGCCGCCGCGAAGATCGTCGGCACCGTCCTCGGCACCCTCCGACGAATGCGCGACCGACGCGTGGACGCTATCTGCCACGTCATCGTCTTCCGAGGGCCACGTCACGCCGACGGCGACCCTCCGCGCGGCGCGCGTTTCGTCCGACAACGCGTCGTGCGCGTCTCTGAGGGTCGTTCCATACGAGCGAACGTCGGGGTGGAGTTCATAGGCGTCAGTTGGAGTTGAAAGGCGCCGAGGACGGGGATTGAAAGCGGGATGTGAGCGGAGAGATGCGCCGGCGAAAGTCCTTAAGAAACGGCGTTCACCACGCCGACGCGGTCGCATGGGAACCAGTGTATAGAACGCACCTCAGCGCTCGCTCCGCCGCCGCCGCCAGCGCGCCCTCCGCGGCCTCGCGCCGCGCGCGCTCCTCCGCCTCCGCGACGCGATGCCTCCGCCGCGCCTCCTCCGCGTCCGCGGCGACGGCGAGCCCGTCCGCGCGCCGGCGGTCGTCCGCGCGGCGTCTCGCGACCTCCGCCGCGGACGACCCGTCGTCGTCCCAGTTCGCGAGATATTCCCGCGACAGTCGCACGTCGAGGACGTTCTGTTGCTCGCGCTCGATCGCTCTCCCGGCGCGCACCAGCGCCTCCAGCGAGACGTCCCCTCTTCCGACGACGACGCTTTTGCTTTTGATTTTGTCGCCCGATGATAACAAGCGCGTTCCGAGGGATTCGACGCCGACGCGGTCCACGAACGCGCGAACGTCGTCGTCGACGCACCGACTTCGCGCGGCGCCGAAAAAATCCAACGGCTGCGCGTCGAACGCGTCCACGAACCGTCGCGCGTCCTCGATCCCTCCGTATCCGCCCGGCCGCTTATCGTCTTTGAGGAGTTGATGCACCATCTCCGCGATCTCGTCGCGCGTCGGCTCCCACATCCAGAGGTCCATGCGGCCGCTTCGCGTGAGCGGCGCGTAGACTCTCGAGAGGTCGTTTCCGGTCACCACGATCGGGACTCTCTCGCAGCGGGCGCGGTCGTCCGCGCGCCACTCGCCTCCGACGCTCACGCGCGTCGGGTCGTCGCACAGGTTCATGAGCGTCGCGGCGACGATCTGGTTGTTCACCGTGGTCTTATCGTCGCGGTGCCGTCCGATGCCGGCGTCCAGATCGCTGATGGCCATTCCATACGAGCGAACGTCGGGGTGGAGTTCATAGGCGTCAGTTGGAGTTGAAAGGCGTTGAGGGCGGGGATCGAAAGCGTGGTGTGGGCGGGGAGATGCGCCGGGCAAAGTCCTTAAGGATCGGCGTTCACCACGCCAGCGCGGTCGTATGGGGACCAGTGTATAGAACGCGCCTGATGACGAGGCACGCCGGTTTCCCCGTGTGACGGATCGCCGTGGACGCGGCGAGGTACCGCCGCCGTAAGAGCGCGCCGGGCTCGCCCGCGACCGGGTCCTCGAGCTCGCCCGCGGAGGTCACGATCGGCGTGACGCCCATGTCGCGGCAGCACAGCTCGACGTTGAACGACTTCCCGCACCCTTTCCCGCCCCAGATGCCGAGTATCAGCGGCGTCTGAAGATTTCTCCGAGACGACGACGACGACGACGACGACGACGACGACGACGACGACGACGCGAGCGCGTTCTTCACGAGGTGCGTCGCGAACTTATCCCTGAACCGCTCGGGGACGTGGTAATCGCCCTGGACGTTCGCCAAGCTGCGGAGCTCGCTGACGCGCATGTCGCCGGTCGCGACGTCCGCGTCCACGCCGAGCAGATGCCCCTTGAAGAGCGCGTCCTCGACGCCGTTTTTCTGACTGTAGATGAAGTCCTGCCCGCCCAGGGCGTCGCCGCGCTCGACCGCGGACGCCGCGACGCCGCGTCGGCTTCGGCGCGCGCGGCGGCGACGCTGCGTGGGGGGGGCGCGGCGCGCGCCGACCGCGGCCGCGACCGCCGCGGCCGACATCCCCGCGCGGATAAGAAGTGTCGGTGGGCGTCGTGGAAAAAAACTGAAGGGTTCGCGAGTTATGTTCTTTTCGTCGAAAGGGAGTTTAGTTTCGCCGCGAGACGTCGCGTTCTGGCTAGAAGTGCGACACCGCGCGCTTCGCCGCGGTGTTGAACGACCCTCGCTTCCACCGCCCCGCGTGTACCTCCTTCAACGTCTTCCGCATCGTCTCCGGGCGGCACGGCTTCCCGAGCGCGCCGTCCATCCCCGCCGCGCGCGCCTCGCGTTCGTACTCGTGCCCCGCCTCCGCGCTGAGACCGACGATGATCATCGTCTCTGGATTTAAAACGGCCGCGGCCGCGGCGTTTTTACCCTCCCGATGCGCCTTCTCCAGCGCGCGAATCTCTCGAGACGCCGTCGCGCCGTCCATGATGGGCATCTGCGAGTCCATCAGCACCAAGTCGTACAGCTTCTCCCCGCGGTCGATCCGCCCGCGGACGCGATCCACCGCCTCCTCGCCGTGCAACGCGACGTCGAGCGACACGCCGCTGTTCTGCAACGTCGCGCGTATTATCCTCAGCTGAAAGTGGTTGTCCTCCACGACGAGGACGTCTAACCCGTCGAGCTCGTCGTCCTTCAGGGTGCTCGTCGCCTTCGACGCGGGTTTAGGTCGGATCTCCGAGAAGGACCCGGAGCTCTCCTTGGACGGCGGCGGCGACTTTTCCTTGGACTTTTCCGCCGCCGCGACCGGCGTCGCCCACTCGTCGTCGCTGTGAAGCGGCGACGACGCGGACGCCGCGGACGCGGTCGCGGGCACCTCGCCTTTCTCCAACCTCCCCTCCTTCCCGGATCCCGCGCCCATGTACCGCGACGTGCTGAGCGACGCGAACTCCTCGATGTCGATCGACGCTCTTCGACCGCCGCCGTCGACGGAATCTCTCCTTCCGCCGCCGCCGCCGCCGCCGCCGCCGCCGCTCTGACCGAGGGACGACTGCCGCGCGACGCGCGCTCTCGCGAGCGCGCCGTTGACGCACGCGAGCAGCGCCGCGTGCAGATCGCGCGTCGTGCACGGCCGGCGAACGACCGAGACGGCGTCTCGCTCGCGAAGCGCCGCCCTCGCGTCCGCCGTCGCCGCCGCCGTCGCGCACACCAACACCCCGGACGCTCTGCTCCCGCCCTCGCACACGAGGTCGCGAAACTCGCGCGCGGCCGCGGCGACGCCGACGCCGGCGTCGCCGCCGCCGGCGCCCTCGCCGCCTCCGAACGCGTCCGCGGGCGCGATGAGCACCGGGAACGCGTCGGGGTCCGCGCCCAGACGACGCCACGCCGCCGCGAGCGTCGCCCCGGGGTCCGGGTCCGACTCGTCGTCCGGCGCGACGACCCCGCCCCCCGCCTCCTCGATCGCGGTCGCGACGACGACGCCCGAGCCCCGCGCGACGTCGCTCACGTACGCGGCGAAGTGACGCGACAGCGACGGGTGCGTCATCGCGATCGTCTTCGACCCGCGCGGACGCGGCAACGCGGGCAACAGGTCAAAGTCGAACGAGTCGTCGTCCCCCGGCGGCGGCGAGTGTCTGAGGGTCGCCATTCCATACAAGCGAATGTCGGGGTGGAGTTCATAGGCGTCAGTTGGAGTTGAAAGGCGTCGAGGGCGGAGTTTGAAAGCGAGGTGTGGGCGGAGAGAGACGACGGCAACAGTCCTTAAGGATCGGCGTTCACCACGCCGACGCGGTCGTATGGGGACCAGTGTATAGAACGCGCCTGAGCGGCACGGAGATGGAGAAGCAGTCGGGCTCGCTCGCGTCCTCGGGGTGCAGGGCGTAGGATAAGTCGCCGCCCATGGCCTCCACGACCGCGCGCGCGACGGTCATGGAGAGGCCGAGCATCTTGTTCTTCGCCGCGTCCATGCCCATTTCGTCCAGGTGCCGGCAGCTCACGACGCGTCGCGACGACGACGGCGACGACGGCGACGACGACGACGGCGCGCTCGCGCCTGGGCCCTTCGAGCTCGAGCTCGGGACGCCGTTCACGGGCACGAACGCGGTAAACGTCGCTTCCGAGTACGTCGCGCCGTGAAAGTGGTCCTCGTCGCTCGTCGCGTCGCCGAGCTCCATGAGAAGTTTCACGCACCGCACGGCGCCGCCGCAGTCGCCCTCTTTACTCTCCCGACACGCGCACGCGCCCTGCGTCAGCGTCACGAGGCAGTCCCTGAGCGCGTCGACGTTCCCGACGAACGTCGTCTTCGCGGTCGACGGCGCCGCTCTCAGCAACGTCTTCGGTCTCGTCTCGACGACGACCTCGACGCCGAGCGTCAGCGCCGTCGTCGCCGACGTCATCACGTCGTCGAGCAACGTCGCCGGCGAGAAGCCCATAACCTCGCCATCGCCCTCGGCGTTCTCGTCGCGATCGATCGCGGGGCGCTTCAGTATCCCGAGGTTGCGAATCTCCGCCTCCAGACGGCTGTACTCGCTCGCTTGCACGACGAGCGATCGCATCGACTCCGCGGACGCTAAGATGGCGCGTTGAAAATCCCGCACCGCGCTCGGCACCTTCTCGGGTCCGGGGTACTCCAACGCGAGCTGCCCGAACCCGATGACCGCGCTGAGCGGCTGTCTCAGCTCGAACGACAGGGAGTGGTAGAACGCGAGCTGATCCGCCATGCCCTCTTGCACGCGTCGTCGGACGTCCTCCTCCGCGAGATCCAAGATGCGGCCGCAGCCGACGAGGTAGAGCGCGGAGAGAGAAAACTTCGCGCAGCCGTCGCCCGCGGAGAACCCCAAGTGCGCCTCGTCGTCGTCGATGAGTCCCGCGCGGCGCGCGAGAAACACGAGCGGGAAAACGCACCACGCGCAGACGTTAATAAACACGAGGACGCGGATCCGGCCGCGGTCGCGTCGGACGCTGTCGAACGCGCTGCCCTCTGCGGCGCCGAGCAAAATCCGTACCATCTGCGTCAAAACCCACGCGAACGCGCCGCCGCCGAGGACGACGAGGACGCGCGCGATCGGCGGCGGCATCCCCGGCGCGATGACCCCGCCGCACCCGCACGCGAGCATGAAGACGGTGCCCCACGCGAGGTGACTCGCCGGCGGCGGCGCGTACGACGACGACGACGCGCGCGTCTTCGCCTTGGCCGCGCCGCCGCCGTCGGCAGCGGCGCGGTTACCGCCCTTCTTACCGCCCTTGAAGGCGCTCTTGGAGACCGTCGTCAACGACGATAGCGGGGGCTTCCTCGCGAGTCCGTGGAACTGTCGCATGAGGACGATCATCACCGGCGTGCTGAAGAACCACGATAGGAGCCGCAACCCGCTCGGAAGGTCCCCGCGGGTGCGCGCGTCGCCGACGAGCCACCACTCTCCGCCTCGCATCATCTGAAGGTGCGCCACCCCCGCGACGGCGTTGACGTACGTCGCGGACCAGAAGTGGCGTCTCCGCGCCGGATGCGTCGCCCACAGCGCGCTCACGACGCTGAGCGTCGTCGCCGCGGTGAACAGCGCGGTCCCGAACACGGCGACGTCCCTGCGGAACGACGTCGCGGACGCGGTCGCGGACGACGACGGCGCGTCATCGCGTCTCGGCGCGGCGTCGCTGGACGACAGGAACACCGGCGTGAGGCACGCGTCCGCGGCGAGGAACGCGAGGAACAGGAGGAGGAGGGCTCGGCCGGAGAGCTCGTCCGCGCGCGCGGGATGCGCGGGCGCCGTCGCCGCGGCGGCGACCCCGCGGGGAGACCCCGCGCGCATCCTAGCAGTGACGATGCATCATCAGACGTCGACATCGGCGTCGAAAAGCAATCAGCGCAGCGCGTGTCGGTTTTTCCTGTCGCGCAGCCACCCTCACTCAACACGCCCTCCTCTCGCGTCGCGTCTCTTCGCGGTCGCCGCCGTCGCCGATCGCACACCGCACGCGCGCGCGTCCCGCGTCGCACGTTTTCTCGGCCCGGCGGCTTCCTCGACGCCCCGCAGGTGCGCTCGGACGGACGCTCTCCCGCGCGTCGTCGTCGTCCTCTCGCGCGGTCGCGTCGCAACCCTAAATCGACGCCGATCGATCGACCGATCGCGCGACCCGCCGAGAGGCGCGCGTCACTATTCATCAGTGGCAAAAAAAAGCCCCGCCCGCGCGCCCTAAGGGCATCGCGTCCGACGACTGACGACTCTCCCCCACCGCAGCGCTCGCAGGCTTCGCAAGAAAACAACAACCCTGACCATGGCGCGCGTCATGCACGCTCTCGGCACGGCGCTCCGCGAGACGGGCCAGGCGCTCGATCGCATCGGTTGCAGTTTTCAGGGTTCCAACGTCTTTCGAGAGGCGATCAGCAAGCATCGCACGATCCAGCAGATCTACGAGAAAGTCCCGAAGCTCCCGGCCGCGGGGTTCGTCGCGCCGTCCGCGTCCGTCATCGGCGACGTCACGATCGGCGAAAACTCCAGCGTGTGGTACGGCGCGGTCCTCCGCGGCGACGTCAATCCAGTGTCGATCGGATCCTTCACGAACATCCAGGACAACGCCGTCGTGCACGTCGCCAAGACAAACGTCGGCGGCGTCTCGCTCCCGACCGTCATCGGCGATCGCGTCACCGTGGGTCACAACGCGATCATCCACGCGTGCACGATCAAGGACGACGCGTTCATCGGCATGGGCGCGACGGTGATGGACGGCGCGACCGTGGAGGCGGGCGCGATGGTCGCCGCCGGCGCGCTCGTGACGCCCGGGACGACGGTGCCGTCGGGGCAGCTCTGGGCGGGCGCGCCCGCGCGGATGATGCGCGAGATGACCGCGGAGGAGAAGGCGTTCACGAAGACGAGCGCGGAGACGTACGCGGCCGTGGGGGAGGTTCACGCGGAGGAGTGTGGGAAGGGTTTCGAGGAGATCGAGCACGATAAGGCCGCGAGGCGAATGGCGTTGGAGAGAGACCCGGATTACGACTCGCATCTCGGCGTGAGACGGGGGGACGTCAAGGTGCAGATTCCGTGAGCGATCGAGGCGGCGGGCGAGCGAGCGGCGGCGGGAGAAGACGAGTGTACTTATACAGCGCGTCGATGTCGATGTCGATATCGATCGCGCGTGGGAATTCAATCGACGTGCGTGTTTGGGTCGCGATCGTCACGCGTCGTCGTCGTCTCTCTCGTTCGCGAAAACAAATGGATCCACGTCAACCCCCGTCCTTGCCTAGCTATAACGCGCGCCAACCGAAACCCCCTGTCCATCGATCTACTCCGCCGCCGCGGGGTTCTGGATCACGATGAGCGTGAACTCTGCGTCCGAGTGCACCATGATCTCGTGCTGCTTCGACCGAATCCGAAGGAACTGCAGGTTGTTCTGCGGGTCCAGGTCCCTCACCATCGACCGCGCCATGCTCGCGAGCTGCGGGATCAGCTCCGCGTACTTCGCGACGGTGCCCTCCTGGTCCTCCACGGGGGTGCCGTCCGCGTCGCAGATCGTCGTCGCGCGGATGGGCTCGCCCTCGTCGTTGACGATGATCGTCCCGAGCACGCCCTGGGTCGTCGCGATGGCGGAGCGGGGGCGCGATGAGACGGCGCGATGAGAAGAGAATTCATTCGCGCGCGGTCAAACGGGCGGGCGCGTGGATGGATCCCAAAGCGGAGGGAGGGGCGAGACGCGCGCGGGGTTCGACGCGCGGGGTTCGACGCGCGATGGGACCGCGACAGCGCGCGCACCTTGTGCCCGTTGATGCGCTGCAGCGTCGCTTCGACTTCCGACATCGTGCCGCGTCCGCGCTCGGCGTCGAGTGACGCGCGCGGGGCGGAGGGCGCTTCAAGCAAGTCACGGAATCGTCGACGTCCAGTGGGCTGGGTTTCAACTTCGTCGGACGACGGATAGGACGACGAGAGACGTCGAGCCGTCGCCGGGACGTCACTCGCGCGCGCGCGTCGTCGCAGACTCGATGACATCGCTCGCGCGCGCGACGTCGACGTCCGCGCCCGCGCGCGCGTGCGCCTCCGCGTCGCTTCGTCGCGCGGTAGCGCGCGCGCGCGCGGCGTCGCCCCGCGCGTTTCAGCATCGTCATCACGACAACACTCGTCGTGATGAAAGTCGTCTCGTCGCGTCTCGACGGTCCCACGAAACGCCGCTCGCGCGATGGACGCGACCGCCGCCGTCCGCCGCGATGGACGGCAGCGCGCCGTCGAACGTCCCCACTCCGAGCGACGACGGCGACGACGACGGCGACGACGGCGGCGGCGGCGGCGGCGGCGTCGCGGGATGGATCAGAGCCTACTTCGCGCGCGGCGCGGCGGCGGCGGAGAAGGTCAAGGCGCTGGGCCTCGCCGGCGTCACCGCGTACGGCATCTTCAACACGCTGTACTACACCCTCGCGTTCACGACCGCGTGGACGCTGCGGACGCTGCCGCCGGAGACGACCGTCGCGACCGCGTTCAAGATCGCCGCGGAGACGATATCGTTCGTGTGGGCGGGGTCGCAGGTCACGAAGCTCGCGCGCGCGGGACTGGCGCTCGCGTCGGCGCCGAGGTGCGACGCGCTGATGCGGTGGATGGTGGCGAAGACGGGGATGCGGTACGAGGCCACGTTTACCGTGATCACGCTGGGATGTTTCTTAGGGAGCGCGGGGTTGTTCGCGCTGCTCATCGTCGCGAAGGCGACCGCGGGGCTATAGTTCTGTTTCGTTCAGAGAAAACGTATAGTTTCGTTCCGCGTTCGCGCGCTCGGCGCGGTCATCACGCCTCCGACGGCGGCTCCCAGACATCCTGCGCCTCCGCGGCGCGCTCCTCCTCCTCCGTACCGAACCCGCGCGTGCGCATGAGCCGGTACGCGCGCCCTCGGCGCTCCCTCGCGGGCTTGATCGCGACCGCGTGCGCTCTGTTGATCTTCCGCTTCAAAAACGCCGTCGCCGCCGCCGCGACGTTCACCTTCCTCTCTCTCTGCATCGCCGCGCACTCCGCCTCCGCGGCGTCGTACTCGTCCTTCCATCGCCGCATCTTCTCGTCCGCGGCGGCGATCGTCGCGGCGTCGAGGTGCGCGCGTCGCGCCGCGAGCGCGTCGTCGACGTACAGCGCGAGATGCCCAGCCTTGCCGTCTAACGGTCGTTCCGTACGAGCGAACGTCGGGGTGGAGTTGAAAGGCGTCAGTGCGAGTTGAAAGGATTGAAAGCGAGGGACCCTGGGCGGAGAGAAACGCCGGGAAAAGTCCTTAAGGATCGGCGTTCACCACTCCAACGCGGTCGTATGGGGACCAGTGTGAATACGAACGCGCCTAACGCGAGCGCGATCGACGCGGACGCCGCGCCGGACCGAAACGCGTCCGCGGCGGACGGCAGCGCCGCCGCCGCGCCAGCCTCGCCCGGACCGATCGCCGGGATCACGCCGTCCTCCGCGTCCCACCACGACTTGGCGTCGTTCGTCCGCGGGACGGACCAGACGCGGACGAGGCCGTCGGCGCCGCCGGTCGCGAGGAGAAGACGAGCGGCCTTCTCGTCGGCGCCGGCGTCGGAGTTTGATGCGTCGGCGTCGGCGTCGGCGTCGGCGTCGGCGTCGTCCTCTTCTTCGCCGTCTTCTTCGCGAGTCTCACCGCCCGCGCTCTCGTGCGCGAACGGCGCCCAATCGCAGGTCAACATCGCGCCTTTCACCCTCCACGTCTCGATCGCGTCGAACGACGACGCGTCGATCACGCGCACGACGCCGTCGAGGCAGGCGCACGCGAGCGCGCCGCCGCCGGGGGAGTGCTTCGCCTCCGCGGCGACGCCTGAGGGGGGGTCGAGGGTCCGCGCGAAGAAGCGACGGCGGGGGCGCGTCAGTCGGAGTTGAAAGGCGTCGAGGTCGGGGATCGGAAGCGAGAGGTGAACGGAGAGAAACGTCACGTCGGGAGAGAAAGTCCTCGAGGAACGGCGTGCACCGCGCGAACGGGAGCGTACGGGGACCGGTGTGACATTGGAGAGACGCGCCCGAGCCGCGGTTCCCGCCGCCCGCGCCGCCTCTGCGGCGCATCTGAAGGTTCGATTGGATCCCCCCGGGGGAGAGGAACCTGACGCCGTCGCCGTCGACGACCTCGACGCCGCGGTGCTCCCAGCACTCGTGAAGGGGCTTGCCCTCGCCCGACGGCGAGGCTTGGACGCTCCAGAGCCGCAACACGCCGTCCTCGGTCGAGGTCACGAGCGCGTTGAGGTTCCTGTTTCTGTTCCTGTTTTTGGCCGCGTCGGACGTTTTAGTGTCGTCGTTTTCCGACATTTCGTCGCCAATCGGGTGCCACGACATCGACGCCACCGGCCCAGGGCACGCGTCGTACCACTTGCACAGCCTTCCGCTCACCGCGGACCAGGTCAAGAGCCGGTACGACCCGCCCCCGCTCCCGCCCAGGTGATCCGCGGTGACGACGAGTATGAGTCTCCGACACGGCGTGTACGACACCCTGGTCACCGCCGCGCTCGCGCCTTCCCACTTCAGCGTGTGCAGCGTCGCCCCGGGGTCCCGTCCGGTCATCCCGGCGAGGTCCCACACGCGCGCGACGCCGTCCGCGCCGCCGGTGACGAGCTGCCACCCGGTCGCGTGAAACGCCGCGTCGTTGACTCGCTTCTTGTGCGACTTCTTCGTCCTCACGACGATATCGCCGCTGTACACGTCAACGACGACGCCGCCGAAACGCGCGTCGCCGTACGCGAGCTGCCGCGTCGCGTCGTCGAAAACCGCGACCGTCACGCCGTCGCCGCGGCGCGCGAGTCGGATCTCGTCGACGACGACGACTTTTTTCGCCGAGACGTCCAGGCGCCACAGCGTCAACGCGCCGCCGTCGGTGAACGCCGCGAGCGCGCGCGTGCCGTCCTCGAGCGGCGCTCTGCCCCACGCGAGGCCGTTCACGCGATCGGGCGCGTCCATCTCGAGCGTCGCGAGGAGATCGCCGCTCGGGACGCCCCACAATCGCACGCGTCCTCTCGCGTCGCCAGACGCGAGCGTCTGATCTTCAGTCGTCGTCGTCGAAGATCCGAAGCGTTCGCGGTCGCGCGTCGTCGGCGGCGCGAACGCCACGACCGTCACCGCGGCGGCGTCGCGCGTCCCCGGCGGAGACGCGGACATCGTGGAGACGCACGATCGCAGCCTCATCGCGTCGCGCGCGCGGCGCAGACCCTCCAACGCCGTCGCCGTCTCGGCGTCCGACGTGGCCTCAGCCGCGTCCGACGACGTCATCATGTCGTCGTGCGCGCCGCAACTCTGGTAACACCGCGCGGCGTCTCTCCACCGCCCGAGCGCTTCCAACGCCGCGCCGCGCAAGAGTTTCGGCGCGATCCACAGCCCGCGCAGGGACGCGGCCTTCTCCGCGTCGCGCAGGACGTCGCGCCAGTTCGACAGACCCGCGTGCGCGCGCGCGCGATTGTGAAAAGTCGTCGCGCGCGCGTTGGAGTCGACCTTCGCGGAGGCGGAGCGCGACGTCTTCGCGAGCGCGGCGTCGTAGCACTCGATCGCGCGCGCGAAGTCGCCGAGCGCGAGCGCTTCGTCGCCGAGCTCTTTCGGGTCGCGAAGCGTCGCGAGCTCCTCGCTCGCGCTCGCGTTCGCGTTCGCGGGCGCCGTCGTCGATCGTCGTCTCTCGTCGACGTCGTCGCTCGCTCTCTTCGACGCGACGTCCGCGCGCGATGGCGCGCGCGCCCTCGCCGCGCCGCCGCGCTTCGCGCGGTCGACGACCGCCTTACCGATCCACGACGCCTCCAAGAGCTCGTACGCGCGCTGCACGGCCTGGAATCGCTCCGCGTCGCCGCCCTTGTCGGGGTGGAACGCCCTCGCGAGCGCGCGATAGCTCTTCTTCGCGTCCGCGCGCGTCGCGTAGACGGGGATTCCGAGCGTCGCGCACGCGTCCTCGCGCGTGCGCGGCGACGACGCGCTCGACGACGCCATCGCGCGCGGCGGCGAGGGAGGGGACGCGCGACGGCGAGGGGTTTTTCGTTTCGCGCGTCGTCGATCGCGCGCGGAGGGGAGTGCGCGCGGCGCGACGGCGGCGCGCGGGGACGCGACGCGACGCGGGAGGCGAACCGCCGCGACCTGAGCGGTCGCGTCGCGGCGCGGCCGGCGGAAGCTGCAAGCTGGCACGAAGTTCGGATCCGCCAGGGAGGCTCCGCGGGCGCGGGCGCTCGGCAGTTCGGAGCGCGCGATGACGACGCGTCGCGAGCGACCGCGCCGCGCGTCGACCCTCCTCCTCCTCGTCGTCGTCGCGTGCCTCGCGCGCGCGCCGCGAGGCGTCGACGCGGAGACGGGGATTCCGCGCGTGCGGCTCGCGCCCTCCTCCGGATCCTCCTCCTCCTCCTCCTCCTCCTCCGCCTCGTGCCGCGTCGCGGTCGAGAACGGGCGCGAGGTCGCGGACAGCGCCGGCGCGACGTGCGCGCCGACCGCGCTCGCGCCCGACACCGGCTGCTGCGCGGCCGCGATCGCGCGCGCGAGCGACGAGACGTGCGCGGACGCGTGCAGCGCGAAGCGATGCTGCGACTCGTACGCGCGATGCGTCGTGTGCTGCGACCTTCGCGCCGCGAAGAGGGCGTCGAGCGCGCTTCAGACGTCGAGCGGCGGCGGCGACGGCGGCGAATCGCGCGAGGATGAGGACGACGAGGAGGTCGCGCCGGTGTCCCCGATGCATCCGACGATGTGGCGGAAGTGGCTCCTGACGCACGACGTCCGCGCGGAGACCGAAGACCGCGCGGATGGGGGCGAGATCCGAGGCGAGACATTCTCCGACGGCGGCGGCGAGCGCGACGCGCACGTCGTGTCCTCGTTCGAGTACTGCGCACACCGGTGTCGCACGAACAGCGCGGTGACGAAGTACGAGAACGAGTTCCAGGACGCGAAGCATCACTGTTTCGGGAGCGTCTACGCGGAGAGCGTCGGCGCGGACGACACGCTGTCGCCGGGACGCGAGAAGCTTCACGATCAAAACGGAGACTTTCGCATCGTGAACGGCGAGGAGCGGACGCTGAAGGACTAGCTAGGACTCGCTCGGGGGGACGAGGTCGCGCGGCGGGGTGCGCGCGATACGGTAGGGTTTAGGTTGAGGTTTAGAACAACGAACGGCAGCGGCCGCGCGTCGTCGGAGCTACGCTAGACGAGGCGCGCTCTCAGCCCGCGTCCGCCGCCGCCGCCGCCGCCGCCGTCGCCCCCGTCGCGAGCTCGAGCACGATCGCCGCCTCGTCCGCGGCGACGTGGTCGAACGTCTCCAGCCCGCTCGCGCCGTTCACCCGCAGCACGCACCCGGCCGCGCACGCGTCCATGCACCGCGCGCCTTTCACGACGACTTTGACTTTCGACGACGACGCGTCGCTCTCCGCCGCGATCGCGAGCGCCCGCAACGCCGCCGCGACGTCATTCGCGCCGCGCTTCGCGCACGCGTTGTTCACGCACACGGTGATCTCCGCGGCGGCGGCGGTCGACGAGCTCGTCGCCGAAACCGCCGCGCCGTGACCGCCGCGCCGCCGCGCCGCGAGGAGCGCGCGCCGCTCCGCGCGCGCGTCCAGCGCCGCGGCCTCGCGCTCCTCCTTCGTCATCGGTCCAGCGCGCGTCGTCCGACTCGTCCTCTGCTTCGCCGCGACGTCCGCCGTCGCCGTCGCCGTCGCCGTCGCCGCGGCCGTCGCCGTCCTCTTCGCCGCCGCCGCCTTCTCGCGCGCGCGGCTCTCTTTCCACCCTCGCGACGCCTCGATGGACTCCCACGAGTGTCCGAGGACGAGCACGCCGCCGATCGCGAGCGCCGCGAGCGACCCCGCGTCGACGCCGATCGTGACGGAGGGCGTGACGAGCGAGACGACGTCGGTCCAGTAGTCGGGATCTCGGAGCCCCGCGCGGAGGGCGACGGCGCCGCGGCGAGGACGGACAGACGGCGGCCGCGCCGCGGCGGGACGCGCGGCGGGAAGCGTCGACGCCGCGAGCATGACGCCGACGGCGCGGCGACGAGTGAAGACGCGGACGGCGCGACGATGGATAGATGATCTGATAGATCGCGTTCGTCTCGTCGGCCTGGCCCGTCATCACAGCGGAGGTCGCCGCGCGCCGGCGCGGGCGGGGGGCGATGCGGGCGGCGGAGGAGGACGCCGCCGCGGCCGCCGCGGACGCGGAGGCGCTCCGATCCCTCCTCCTCGCCGCGGCGTCCGAGCTCGTCGGCGCCGCGCTCGCGTCCGAGGTCCTCGCCGTGCCGAAGGAGTCGGCGCGCGCGTCGAAGAAGCTCGACGACCACGGCGCCGACTTCCGATGCCGCGCCCCGCGCACGCTGTTCCGCAGGCTCGAGGCTCTCGCGCGGCGCGGCGCGGACGCGGACGCGGACGCGGACGCCGCGAAGAAGATCGACGACGACGCGCCCGTGGCGTGCGGCGACGTGCGCGTCGCGTGGCATCGCGAGGCGAACGCGGGCGGGAGCGACGACGGAGACGACGCGACCGCGTCGGCGCCGTCGGCAACGGGCGTGGTCGTGCACACGACGACGGCGTACGGCACGCGACGCGCGCGGCATTACCCCTCCGCGGTCGAGTTAGCGGACGCGATCGTGTGCGCGATGGACCCGGCGTCGTTATCGGCCGTCGCCGCGCACGTCGCCGTGGACCGAGGCAGCGGCGGCGGCGGCGGCGGCGGCGACGACGGCGACGGCGGCGAGGGCGCGGCGACGGCGGCGAAGCGCCGGAGACGACGCGAGCTCCTCGGCCGCGCGCGCGAAAACCAAAACCAAAACGAAAACGGCTCCGTATCCGGCGTTATATCTTTCATGACCAAACGACGGCTGTTAGAGAACGCGGCGAGAGGCATGCTGCTCTGCCGCGCGTGCGGCGTGATGTTCCGCGGCGACAAAGGCTTGCGCGAGCACAGACAGGCGAAGCACGCGAACTCGTACGAGACGTCGCGCAAGGAGGTCATGGACAGTCGCATGGCCCTCATCGCGATGGGCGGAGGAGCGGCGACGGGAACGGGAACGACGACGGCCGCCGCGATGATCGATAACGGTCGAACGAACGCCGTCGCGAAGGAGCCGGAGGCGTTCGACGAAGGCTTAGGTGCGTTCTATACAAAAGTTTTTCACCCATCGCTCGGTTTCAACACTTGATCGCGTCCCCTTTCAACTGACCGATGAACTATTTTTGTATGGAATGGCCCTTAGCCGCCGCGAGGGACGGCGACCTCAATACGCTGAAGACGCTCGTCGCCGAGCGAGGCTGGGACCCACTGCAAACGGTCGATAAGCACGGCTCGTGCGCGCTTCACTGGGCCGCGGGCGCGGGTCAGCTCGAGACGTGTCGATACCTGGTCGAGACCTGCGGCGTCGACCCGTGCGTTCGACGGCGGCGGGGGAAGAAGAGTAAGGTGCGTTCTATACACTGGTCCCCATACGACCGCGTTGGCGAGGTGAACGCCGATCCTTAAGGACTTTGCCCGGCGCATCTCTCCGCCCACCCCTCCCTTTCAATCCCCGCCCTCGGCGCCTTTCAATTCCAACTGATGCCTTTCAACTCCACCCCGACTTTCGCTCGTATAGAACGGTCCTAATAAGCGCGACGACGGCCGCGCCGCGATGCACTGGGCCGCGCGCAACGGCCGCACGGAGGTGTGCGCGTGGTTGCATTTCGCGCACGGCGTCAGCGTGGACGACCCGACGAACGACGGGACGACGCCGTTCCACTTGGCGGTGTGGCGAGGACACGTGGACACGTGTCGGTGGCTCGTCGACGCGGCGCGCGCGGATTGGACGACGACGAACGCGTTCGGGTGCAACGCGATTCAGTGGGCGGCGCAGTCCGGCGACGTCGCGATGTGCGCGTACCTCAAGCGCCTCGGCCTGGACTTGACGCTCCTGAATTACAACGGCCACAGCGCGCTGCACAAGGCGGCGGTGAAGGGCAAGGCGGAGGTCTGCGCGTGGTTGCTGTCGGAGGGGGGATTGGACGGGAGGCACATGCTCGCCGACGGCGACGGGAACACCCCGCAGGAGATGGCGAGGTTGGAAGGTCACGACGCGCTGGCGCGGTGGTTGAGAGCGCGCGCGGACGAGCTCGCTCGATGATTTTGGTGGCACGACATCGTAGTAGCGTAGTCTAGTAGGTACGCATACGCAGACGGCGGCGGCGGCGGCGGCGACCGGGCGAGTGGTTTCATCGAAACGCCCGCGGCGACCGAAGCGCTTTCGGTCGCTTTACGCGATGGCGTTCGTCACGTGCATCGCCCAGCCGCGCCGTCCGCGCCGTCCTCCCGAGAATCACTCATCACGCGTCGTCGACGTCGACGACGCCGAGCTCCTCGAACGCGTCCAAGAAAGCCTCCGGCGGCTGCGCGCCCGAGAGCGAAATCCGTCGCTTCCCGTCGCCGACGATGAAGTGCGGCACCCCGCTCACGCCCCGAGCGTACCTCTGAAGCTGCTCGTCCGTCTCGCTCAGATACGCCGTCGGGTTCGCGAGCAGCTCGTCCACGGCGTCCGCGTCCAGCCCCGCGCGCTTCGCCGCGGCGCGCACGACGTCCGGGTCCGCGGGGCACTTTTCCTCCGTGAAGTACGCGCGCATCAACGCTTCCATGAAGTCGTTCTGCTTCTCCAACGACTCGCGCTCGCCCGCGTACGTCGCGACCCTGTGCCCGTCGATCGTCGGACCGGTGTTGCCGCCCATGGAGTACCCGTCAATACCGACGGACTCCATGACGCCGCGCAGGCGCTCGAACATGGGCGTCACGCGCGCGGGCCCGCCGAACTTGCTGTGGTAGTAGTCGAGCTTGTTGATGCCTCTCGTCTGCGCGTCGCGGGGGAACTCTCCGGTCGCGACGCCGCGGCGCCACACCTCTTGGGGCATCAGGAAGAACGGGCGCCAGTGCGTCTTGAACGTCACATCGGGGGACGACGCCCTCGGTCTCGCCGCGACGAGCGCGGTCTCGAGGTTTTTTTTCCCCACGAGGCACCACGGTCAGACGATGTCGCTGACGACGTCGATGGTGATGACCTTCGACGCGGCGGCCGCGGCGGAGGACATCGTTCGCGTTCGCGCGGCGAGGACGAGCGGCGCGCGCGCGAGACGAGACGTCGTCGTGGAGGAAGACGCGGAGAGACGACCTCGCGCTCGGAGGGTGTGGCGCGAGGAATGAATTGTTCGGGCGCGCGCGCTGCCTATTGCCATGCCATGCCAGTGCGAGAAAAAAGCGCGACGCGCTTCGAGCCACGAAGCACTCGGAACCAGTCCGCATTTGGCTGTCGCGCAGAGCGCTCGGATTGCACACAACCACGCGCGCGGCAGCACACGCACGGGTGCGCGAACGATGCGATTTCCTCCATCGCGTCTCTCTCACCGCGCACGCGATGCGACGCGACGCGCGGCGGCGTCGCGTCGCCGCGTCCGCCGCGGCGTCCGCGTCGCGAATGTCCGTCCGGGAAAAATAACGAGAACGACGAGCGACCCTAAGCCCCGGGGCGTTGGATGCCTCCGCGCTGACGCCCGCTCCCCTCCCCGCTCCCCCCGTCCACCGCAGGCGAGCTCACGATGGCCGACGTCAAGGCTAACGATGTCGCGGGCGCGCTCATGCAGAACTCGTGCGTCCCACGCCCTCGTCCGATCCTCGCGCGGCCCCGCGCGCTGACGCGCGCGAGCAGAGATCGATTCTCCCTCTCGACTCCCTTTTTTGGCACGTCGACGCGCGTCCGCCCGCCCCTCGCGCGCGCTCGCGCGCTCGCGTCGCGACCGCCGCGGACTGACGCGGCTCGCTCGATTCCCTCCCCTCGTCGCTTCAGGTACTGCGACACGAAGATCAAGGGCATCGCGAGCGGGAAGGGCAACGTGGAGACCGGCTCGGTGAGTCCCCCCCATCTATCTGCCTACGTCGGAGCCGACGTTCCCGTCCGATTCGGATTTCGCCCGAAACGGACCCGCCGCCCGTCGGTCGTCGCGCGCTCGTCCGTCCGACGCGCGTCTCGTCTCGTCGTCGCTCGTCGTCGCTCGTCGTCGCTCACCCTAAACCCTACATGGTTCTAAACCCTAACCCCTCCCAAACCCACCCCTCAAACACATCCCGCAGTGCTTCGACCAGACGCTTCCGAACACGTTTCGAAGGGCGGGCGCGCACCCGGTGAGCCGCGCGGCGCTGCCCAAGTTTAGCGCGTCCACGATGTCGCACCGGTGGCCGACGACGAAGCCGGGGACGTCGGAGTATCTCAAGAGGGGCGACGGGGAGAAGATCAAGCGCGGGACGATGAAGAAGATGGAAGCGCCGGTCGGGCCGCCGAAGGCTGGCGCGTTCGCGAAGCGCGACAACCCGCCAAACTCGCAGTTTCGCAAGTTTTACGAGCGCGGCGACCTCCCCGTCGCGGTGAAGTTTTTAGGGTCCAAGAACGTCATCTCGTGGAAGGTGGACGTGGAAAAGCTCGATTTCCATCATTACCTCCCCATCTTCATGGACGGCGTTCGGGAGAAGGAGGAGCCGTACCGGTTCCTCGCGGTGAAGGGCGTGGAGGACTTGCTCAAGGCGGGGGGGCAGAAAATCTTACCCGTGATTCCGCAGCTCATCATCCCGATCAAGACGGCGCTGAACACGAGGGATCCGTCCGTGGTGTGCATCGTCGTGCAGCTCCTGCAGAAGCTCGTCGTCTCCGCGGAGCTCGTCGGCGAGGCGCTCGTGCCGTATTACCGACAGATCTTGCCCATCCTGAATTTGTTCAAGAACCGCAACAACAACGTCGGAGACGCGATCGATTACGGTCAACGCAAGAAGGCGTGCATGGGCGAGCTGATCCTGGACACGTTGCAACTGTTCGAGACGTACGGCGGGGAGGACGCGTTCATCAACATCAAGTACATGGTGCCGACGTACGAGAGCTGCATCAACCTGTGAGTCGAGTCTCGCCTCGCCGCGCGGCGGGGTCGGGTTCGGGGTTGGGGGGGGGGAGCGAGGTAGCGGGGTTGGAGGCGATTAGTCGGAGTCGGTCGCGTGTTATTAATTTTGAGCCGATACGCACGGTACGGCACGAGGCATCGAGTCATCGCGGCGCCCGCCGCGCGTCGTCCTCGCTCGCGTTCGCGCGCGCGACGCCAGGGAGCGTCAGTCGGTCGCGCGCGCGTCCGCGCCGCCGTTTTTTTTTCCCCGAAACGCTCCGAGCGCGCGTCCCGCGACCGCCGCCGCCTCCGCGCGCGCGCCGAACGCGCTGAAACTCCGCGGAGTGGTCGACGGCGTCGCGGGGACCGCGCGCGCGAAAAATCGCGAAAAAAAATGCAAAAGGGTTGGAGCAGCAGGGTATCGATCCCCGTACCTCTCGCATGCTAAGCGAGCGCTCTGCCATCTGAGCTACTGCCCCCTTTCGGGGAATGAACCGGTCTTCTGTGAACCGGAGTGTCGATGGAAGACTCCAAGTGCCCAAGTGGCGAATTTAAAAAATATGAAGCTTTCGCGTCGGTGTCGGAACTCCCGAGGCTGCCGACCGCGGTCCCTGCCGCCTTCGCGCCCGCCGCTTTTTCGTCTGGCAATCCGACGCGGGTTCCTCACTTCCCGCGCGCGGCGCGGGAGTCACCTGGCGCGCGCGATCGTCGTCTAGACGCGATGGCGCCGCGCCGCCGCCGCGGGACCGATCCCTCGCAGATCGGATCCCCCGCTCGAGGCGGGCGAAGGTCGTCTCCGACGGTGCGCGCGCTCCCGCCGCGCGAGAATCGTTCGCTCGCGATCGATCGACGGTCGTCAGTCAGAATCGCGCCCGGCGCCGCGCGAACTCCGCGTCTTCTCGCCTCTGAAGAAACCGTATTTACGCTTGGCTACTGACGTCCCGCGAGGGGCCGGCTAGTTACCGGGCAAAACCCCTCGCGCGGCCATGACGCCACTCGAGCTATCGTCTGACGGCTTGCCGGACGCGCATGAGTTCGCCGCGCTTTTTTCTCTTTTCGCCTCGCGCTCGACGTCGACCCGCGCTCTCTCGTCCGCGGCGCCCCGCTGACGATCGTCGCGCTCCTCCTCCTCCGCCGCGGCCGCGTCATCACGCAGAGCGACGTCGTCGCGAAGAGAGGAAGGACGAACGGCCGAGACCTTCGCCCGGGGAGGGGAGCGCACCCCGAACGACGACGACGACGAGGTGCGTCCCCCGGACTCGGCCCCCGCCCGCCCGCGCCCGCGCCCGCGCCCGCGCCCGCTCGCGCGCGAACAAACACGGCACGAGTGTGTACAGACTCGCGGGCGGATTGATAACCCGCGCTGCGCGACTCTGAAGGTTGTACTTTCCGTGCCCAGAGTGACTGGCGAAATCTACGGTTATCTGGCGATCGTCCGTCTCCAGATGCATAACCTAATTCGTCTTACATCGCGTTCGCCCGCCAGCCCCGTGGCGGCGGTTTCTTTCGACGCGGTTGCTCGTACGTGATGCAAAACTTGATCCCAAAGACTGATGAACGGTGAAGATCAACATCAATATTCACCATCTTTCGACTGATACGCGAAGCAACCGCGTCCGCGATGCTAGAGTCGTTTTTTTTTTTTTTTTATCCGCTCGGCTCGGCTTGGCTCGGCTCGGCTCGGCTCGGCGCGTCGCGCGTCGCGCGCCCTCCTGCAGAATGCTATCTGAGAAAGTGCGACGTAGAACACCGCACAATCGGCGTGTATTTTGAAGGAGGGCCAGAATCACAGGGTGCTCCTACTCCGTAGGTGCTCGGCTTCGCGTGCGGAGACGCCTCCCATGGAGCATCAACAAACATGTCGGCTGGCCGGCGGCGGCGCGCTCGGCTCTCGGCTCTCTCTTCTCTCTCTTCGCTGCGGAATGATAGAAGAAAACATACGACCCGCCCGGTACGCCGCGGCGGGGAGGTGCTGAGTGTTGCTTCCCGGGGTGAACACGGGCATCACCCGGTCATTACATAGCCTGTGAATCGTTTCTGCACTGACCGCAACGCGAGGAGAGACGAGAGAGAACCGAGAGAAGAGCCGCCGCCGCAGCCGCCGTCGTCTTTTTCAACCGCCCTCGCGCAGTCGCTGACCACCTCCGATTCGTCCACGCGTTCATCTCCACCGCAGGCAGGTCGACGATCGTCTTCGGCGTCATCGCGTCGCGAGAGGATTCACGACAGACTCCGCCAAGGTACGGCGCGCGAACGACCGCGACCCCGCGCCTGTTCAGTTCCGTCGGCGCGTCTTTTTCGCATCCTGAACAAAGCAGAGAGCAATTATTCCCTTGCGTTGCTTTCCCGTCAGTTTCAGGTAAAGCCTACAGACCGGGAATGGGTGAGCGCCGGGAAACTCATGAACGGTAGCTCAATCTCTCGACCGACAGTTTTCACGCGCGTCCGTCCGTCCATCCGTCGTCGTCGTCGTCCGGGGTGTTCCGCGTTGACGATAACACGCCGCCGATCAACCCGTGAGGCACTAATATCTTCACCCTCTAAGAAGTACCGAGCGGAACGCTTCGCGACGACGACGTGCCCGACCCTACCCGACCCGACCCGACCCGAGGAAGCACTCACGGACGTCTAAGACGAAACATCTTACATCGGAATACAAATTGACGTTTTAAGATTTGATTGCCTCAAACTATCCGAGGCGTCCGGCGCGCGTTTCCTCGGCGGCGGCGGCGTTTTATTGTTTTACCCGACCACGGCGCCCGAGCGCAACATGCCTGAAGCGGCTCTTTTCCGTGGGTCTCGCTTCTTACTTCAGTTGCGTAGACGAACCATGTTCTCTCGCGAGGACGCCGGCCAGACAACCGGGGGGTCTTCACTCCACAGAGCCGACGCCGACTTCGCCCTTACCGGGTTTGTTCACGCGGCGGCTCTACTTTTTTACGGACCACATTCGCTCGACGGACGAGTCGCGTCTCGTCTTCTCTTCGCGCGCTCTGTTCCGTTCGCTTCTTCCCCTCCTCGCGCGCCGTGTGATTCGCTGACGTCGCCGCTCTCGTCTCCCCTTCGCGCAGCCGTAGCCAGTAGCAGCGTTAGAAGTAGCGGCGAGTCTCGTTCAGAGCGTTGTATGACACGAATTCCGAAACGAAAAAAAAAGCCATAACCTGACGTTGTCTCTCCCCCAATCACGCGCGTTTGCGCCCGTGACGTGGCCTCGATTTCCTGGCCACGACGGACCCCGCGCGGACGAGGCGCGACGCGCGCGCGACATCGCGTCGCGCCCGCACGCACGTCGCACGCCCCCGACCGCGCCGCCGCACCCACCTCGCACGCCATGGCCTCCGTCGCCTCCCTCGCCGCCTCCGCGTCCGCCGCGGTGACCGGCCGCGCGCTCACGTCGCGCCGCGCGGCCGCGCGCGCGAGCGCGCGAACCGTCGTCCGCGCGGCCGACGTCCTCCCCGCGGACGGCCGCACGCTCGACCGCAGCGGCGTGCCGAACGACCCCGCGAACGAGGGCCTGTACGACGTCACGCTCCCGAAGCCGGTCGGCGTGAAGTTCGCGCGCGGGAACGACGGCGGCGCGTACGTCGTCTCCATTCCCCCGGAGCCGATGTACGACTGCTTCGCGATCGGCGACAAGGTGCGCGCGCGTCCTCTTCTCGTCCATCGAGACGTATCCATCCGAGATCCATTCGTCCGTCGTTCGTCGCTCGCTTCGTCTCTCGCGTCCGCCGCGGGGAAGCATCGAGAGAGTTCCATTCGCGCTTCACGCCGCGTCGACGCCGTCGCCCCGGCGTCCTCTGGCACCCGCGCTGACCGACGCGTCCATCGACCCCCGCGCGCCGCCGCCGCCGTCGCGCCCTCCGTCCGTCCCGTCCCGTCCTCCGCAGGTCACGAAGGTCTCCGCGAGCTTCGGCGACGAGATCTGGGACGCGGACTCGTACGGACAGATCATCTACGCGATGAAGAACAGGAACGGCGACATTTACCTCCAGCTCAGACAGATGAACGGCGACCTGTCCGCGCTCGAGCAGAACGAGAAGAGCAGCGGGTTCAAGAACGAGCGCGCGGGGGGTAACTACGGCGCCGGGACGAAGGAGCAACAGATGCAAAACTACTCCAAGAAGAAGGAGCTCGAGGTGCAGCGACTCGACATGTTCGACGAGGCCATCGCGCTGTACAACAAGAGCGACTTCGACAGCGCGCTCATCATCTTCGAAGAGGTCGCCGCGCTCGAGCCGAAGAATTACATGTCGGATAACTTCGAGACCGCGACGGAGATTTACCGCGTCTCGCAGTACAACATCGCGTGCTGCTTCAGCAAGCTCGGACAGCTGGACAACTCGCTCAAGGCGCTTCGGCAGTGCATGGGCGCGGGGTGGAAGGACTTCAAGAAGATTCGCACCGACCCGTCCTTGAGCGCGGTGCAGGCGGCGCCGGGGTTTAAGGAGCTCATGGACAAGTTCGACGAGCCGCTCATCAACGAGAACGCGATCAAGTTCGTGAAGGGGCTCTTCGGCGGGAAGTGATTTGATGAGAGCGACGAACGATCCGATCCAATCCGATGGAGAGAGAAAAAGTTTCCCGTCGGCGGGCGGCGGCGGACGGCTCGCGAACGACGGCGCGCGGCGTCGCTCGCGGGACGTCCGCGCGAGGGGAGAGAGCGCGCGTTCGACCGCTGATTCGCGCGCGCGGCGACGATGGCGTTAGTTGAGAAGCTGTCGTATTCAGACGAAAACGTTTCGTTACGCGCGCGTCTCACACACAGTGCACTGTCGTCCTGATGTCACGACGACCGATGAAAGTGTCGACGTGTCGCGCTCGCGTGGATAGGGCTGATGTCGCGCGCGTCCGCCGACGCACACCCCCCCGCGCGTCGGCACACGATGCACGCTCACGCGGTCAACGCTCTCGCGCTGAGCTCCTCGCGCGCGGCGCTCGACGGCGCCGCGCGACCGCGCGGTCGCGCGGTCGCGCCGTCGACGCGCGCGCGCGGTCGCGCCGCGCGCTGCCCGACGATCGCATCGGCGTCGGCGTCGTCGGCTCATCGCGATGCCGCGACGTCCGATCGGAGCGCGACGACGACGCTGTCCGTCGCCGACCTCGCGCGTCCGGCGCTGCCGTCGCACGGCGCGAACGAGATCGCGACCGTCGCCGGGCGCGCGGCGGCCGCGCCGCCGCCGCCGCCCGCGCCGGCGTTCCCGCACAACGTCCCGACGCCCGCGCTCGTCGCCGCCGGCGCGCTCGCGCTCGCGCTCGGCGCGAAGGCGATCCTCGACAAACCGTCGCGCGCGTACGTGCAGGGCCCGGGCGGCGACTCCATCGGCACCGTCGGCGAGGAGTACGACGCGTGGACGGAGGAGGGCATCCTGGAGCACTACTGGGGCGAGCACATCCACCTGGGGTACTACACGGACGAGGACATGGCGAAGGGCGCGGGGACGCTGCTCGGATGCCGCGTGAAGGATTTCGTCGAGGCCAAGTTCGACTTCGTCGATAAGATGCTGGAGTGGAGCGGATGCCCTCCGAACCCGGCGATGGTCCTGGACGTCGGCTGCGGCATCGGCGGCACGTCGCGGCACCTCGCGAAAGCTCTCGGGCCTAAGAGTAAGGTCCAGGGGATCACGCTGTCGCCGAACCAGGTGCAACGCGCGACGGAGTTGGCGGCGACGCAGGGCGTGGACAACGCGTCGTTTCGCGTCATGAACGCGCTCGAGATGGAGTTCCCGGATGACACCTTCGACCTCGTGTGGGCGTGCGAGAGCGGCGAGCACATGCCGGACAAGAAGAAGTACGTCGAGGAGATGATCCGCGTGTTGAAGCCCGGGGGAACGATCGTGATCGCGACGTGGTGTCAGGTGCGTTCTATACACTGGTTTCCATACGACCCCGTTCGCGTGGTGAACGTCATTCCTTAAGGACTTTGCCCGGCGCGTCTCTCCGCCCACACCTCGCGTTCAATCCCCGCCCTCGACGCCTTTGAACTCCACCTGACGCCTTTGAACTCCACCCCGCCATCGCTTTGTATGGGATGGCCCTCAGCGCGAGACGCCGCCGGCGTTCACCGACGAGGAGAAGGCGAACCTCAAGTTTTTGTACGAGGAGTGGGCGCACCCGTACTTCGTGTCGATCGAGGAGTACGTCCGGCTGATGGAGGGCACCGGCGCGATGGCCACGGTCGGGAGCGCGAACTGGGTGAAGGAGACGATACGGAGTTGGCGGCACAGCATCTGGGTCGGCGTTTGGGACCCGTGGCCGGTGGTGTTCGCGGGGCCGCGGATCTGGTACAAGACGATCCGCGAGATCGTGACGTTGGAGCGCATGCACCGCGCGTTCGATTGCGATTTGATGACGTACGGGATGATGAAGGGGACGAAGGCGGCGGCGGCGGCGGCGGCGGCGGCGGCCGCGAAGGAGTGATGAGGGTGTCCGGGTATTATTTTAATCACATTTGAGTGACGCGTTGAAGAAAAAACCAAACTTGAGCGCGAGAGCGCGGTGTTCGTTCGTTCGTCGTGGTGTGCTCGCTCGCTCGACCGACGCGCGCCGCGCCGCTCGCGGCCACACACCGCGCGCACCCCGCGCGTCGGGCGACGACCGTCCGTCCGTCCGTCGCCGCGCGACCTCGCGCCGCCGCGCGCCGCGCGCCGCGCCGCGCGCGACCCGGCGTCCGCGTCGCCCCCGTCGGATTCGCGCGCGTCGCGTTCCCGATCGATCGTTCAACCAAACGGATATCTCCGCGCGAATTCGCGCGTCCGTCCGCCATGTCCACCCCCGGATCCGCGGCGTACTACGACCGCAGCCGACGCGCGGTCGCGGGCGCGGCGATGCGCGCGGACGTCGACTTCCACGCCGGTCTGCGCGAGGCGGGCGTGCCCCCCGTGACGCCGTCCGAGGCGGAGGTGGACGCGCTGCTCATGCGCCTCGCGGACGGTTCGCCGTCGCTCCTCGCCGAGGCTGGGCTCACGCCTCGGAGCGCGCCGCCGCCGCGAGAGAGGCCGAAGCCGCCGTGGGTGGAACCGAAGCCGCGACGCGACGCGAGAGAGGGCGGCGCGTGGAAGAACGTCGAGGCGATGTCCCCGGCGAAGGGGGGCGGCGCGCACCGCGATCCGTGGTGGCACACGACCGCCAACGCCGACGATTCCGACGCGACGGCGACGACGACGACGACGCCGGCGGCGCGCGCGAGCAGCGCGTCGAAGCGTTCGATCACGTTCCACACCCCAGACGACGTCCGCGCGTCGACCGCCGCGGCGAAAAACTTCAGCGCGCTCGCGGCGTCGACGGCGAAGGCGGCGAACCGACTCGACGCGGCGCGGGCTCGAAGGTTCATCAACGCCAACGCTCGGAACGGCGCGTCATCCGCGTCGCCGTCGTCCGCCGCCGCGGTGCGCGGCACGCCGGGGCCGGGCGGCGGCGGCGACGACGACGAAGACGGGTGGGACGAAGACGTTCGAAGCGACGACGCCGCGATCGCGGCGGGCGACGGCGGCGACGGCGACGTGCGCGACGGCGCGCGACTGCCCGTCTTTGAACGCCTGTACCGCGCGGTGCCGTCGGGCCAACGCGAGAAGTTTACGTTTCCGTCGCCGCCGCCGCCGCCCGCGGAGTACGACGCGGACGACGACGCGCGCGACGACGCGCTCACGCCGTCGCGGCACACCAGCAAGGCGCTCGCGGAGAAACGGCGGGAGATCGAGGCGCTGAAGGCGGAGATCAACGCGCGGCGGACGACGGACTCCGCCGGCGAAGCCGCGGAGATGGCGCGCGCCGCCTTCGCCGCGGCGCGTCTCAGGCGCGTCCCATGTCACACTGGTTCCCATACGACCCCGTCGGCGTGGTGAACGCCGTCTCTTAAGGACTTTCTCTCCTGGCGCGCGTTTCTCTCCGCCCAGGGTCCCTCGCTTTCAATCCCGACACACCTCGATGCCTTTCAACTCCGCTTCTGACGCCTTTCAACTCCACCCCGACGATTCGCTCGTACGGACCCTCGACCCTCATCAGACGCGTCTCGGAAGCGCCGGGCGGGTACTCCCCCGCGCCGCCCGGGTACGACTCCGAGGACGACGCGGACAGAGAGCTCGCGAGGCTCGCGGCGCAGGAGGAGCGCGCGAGGGCGGCGCTCGCGCGGATGCACGGCGCGACGGGCCCGCGCGGGTCGCCGCACGTCAGGCGCGTTCTATACACTGGTTCCCATACGACCGCGTCGGCGTGGTGAACGCCGATCCTTAAGGACTTTGTCCCGCGTCTCTCTCCGCCCATCCCCCGCTTTCAATCCCCGCCATTGATGCCTTTCAAATCCAACTGACGCCTTTGATCTCCACCCCGACGTCGCTTTGTATGGAACGACCCTCAGCGCTCGGCCGACGAACGTCCCGGTGACGCGGTTCGAGGACGACGTCGACTTCGTGGACTGGGACTTCGCCGCGATGATGGACCCGGGATTCGCGCTGGGGGGGAAGAAGCCGTGGCAGGAGCGGCTTCGGATCGCGGAGGAGAAGCGCGCGCTGACGGCGCTGCGGTGGGAGAACGAAGTCCGCGCGAGGGCGACGGCGAAGGCGCGGTCGCGCGCCGCCGTCGACGCCGCGGAGGCTGAGTTGACGCGACTGCGGAAGCGACGCGCGGATATTCTCACGCGGCAGCGGCACAGACGCGCGATGGCGGCGACGAAGGCGGACCCGAAGTCGACGCCGCGGTTCCGACCGGCGTGGGGGTACACGGGGTCGCCGGGGACGGTGGAGAACATCTCGAAACTCGCGGCGACGGCGGCGGCGGGCGGCGCGCCGATTCCGCCGCCGCTCTTTCCGGCGGCGGCGGCGCCGTCCCCGGCGCGGCCGCCGCGCGCGTCGCCGAGACCGAGCCCGAAGCCGAGCCCGAGCCCGAAACGACCGAGCCCGAAACGACCGAGCCCGAAACGACCGAGCAGCGCGAGCCCCGCGGCGACCGCGGCGACGTACGCGTCGTACGCGTCCCCGGGGGGGTCGTATTACTACTCTCCCGGCGTCGGACGAAAATCGCTGACGCCGGCGGAGGCGTCGGCGGCGGCGGCGCGGCGCGTGAGAGCCGCGAAGGCGTCGAGGGAGCGCGAGGCGGCGGGGAAGGACGGCGGCGCGGCGAGGTCGACGAGGGCGCCGCCGCCGCCGCCGCCGCCCGCCGCCGCGGGGTTTTCGTTCAGCGCGCCGACGGCGTCCGCGGCGGCGAAGGCGAAGGCGCCGGCGGCGGCGACGACGCGACAAAAAAAAGAGAGGCTGAAACCCGCCCCCGCGGTCGCGAGACCGTCGTCGTACGCGAAACCGAAATCGACCGCGTCGAGGAAGCTCTCGATGACCCCGACCGGCGCCGGCGCGACCACGCGCGGCCACGCCGAGCTCGCGGAGGACGTCGACGGGTTGAAGCGCGACGTCGCGTCGATCAAGTCGTCGCTGAGCGCGCAGGGCGCGTCGTTGGGCGGCGAGCTCGAAGGCATCAAGCGAGAGATGCGTCGCGTGTTCGAAATGTTGAGCGCGGCGGTCGGGGCGGGCGGGGGCGGGAACGGCGGGGGGTCTGGAGGGGGGTCTGGAGGGGGGTCTGGAGGGTCCGTCCCGAGTTCCCCGCAGCAGTTCGTCTCCGGTTGAACGAATAGTCAACACGAGGCGATTGTGAATGAATTAGCAGCACTGTGCACGATGAATGCACGATGAAAGAAGCTACCCGTTCGCTCGTCGCACGCTCCGTCGCCGCGTCGCCGTGCGCGCCTCCGGCTTCTCTTTCGGCGACGACGATCGTTTATCCTTCGTCGGCGGCGGTGGACGCGCGCCGCGCGACGACGCGCGCTCCAGCAGCAGCTCCGCGCGCAACGCGGCGACCTCGGCGGACACCTTGGACACCCTCATCGCGTCCACCTCGCCGCCGCCGCCGCCGCCGCCGCCGCCTCCGAACGCGCGCATCATCGCGTAGCACACCAACGCCGTCGTGACCGCGCGCCGCGCCCACACGATCGCCTCCTCCGCGACCACCCCCGACGCGACCGCGCGGCGCGCCGCCGCCGCCTCCGCGACGCCGACGACGACGACGCGCGCCGTCGCGGTGGACTTTCCGTCGCGCGGCGCCGCGGCGACGACGGCGACGACGGCGGCGACGCGCGCGAGCGCGTCGCGCGCCGACGCGCGCGCGCCGACGAGCGTCGCGACGGACGCGCGCACGCGCTCGAGCGTCCGCTTCGCGTCGAGCACGATGGCGCGCAGCGCGTCCGCGGCGTCGAGCGCGTCGCGGACGGCGGACGCGACGGCGGCGACGGCCGCGCGCGTCTCCGCGGCGTCGCTTCGCGCCTCCGCGTTGACGCGCGCGGTCTCGACCTCGTGCGCCCTCGCCCTCGCCGCGGCGTCGTCCACGCGCGCGCGGACGTCGTCGACGCCGCCGTGGACGTCCGACACTGTCGCGGCGAGGACGGCGGCGCGCGCGGACGCGGCGCGGACGGCGTCGTCGACGGACGCGACGTCGGCGGCGAGGCGTCGGAATCGTTCTTCAGACGCGGCGTCGGCGTCGCGCGCGGCGGCTGCCATCCTCGCGAGCGCGCGCGACGCCTCCTCGCCGCGCCATCGCGTCTCGAGGTGTTCGCACTCGCGATCGATCGCGTCGAGCTCCTGGAGGTACATCGCCTGCTCCATCGTGCGGTCGACCGGCGGGCGCGACCGTTCGGCTTCCTCCCCGACCTCCCCGACGGAAGCCGAACGGTCACCGCCGCGGTCGCCCCCCGCGAGCGCGCGACCGAGCGCGTCCGCGAGGACGCGCGCGACGCCGCGGGTCTCCTCCTTCTTCTTCATCGTCTCTTCATCGTCTTCATCGTCGTCCGCGTCGTCCGACGACCGATACGTCTCGCCGCGGCCGAGCGCGCGCGCGATGCACCGCTCGCAGTGCCTCGCGTCGACGCACGGCGCCGATCGCGCGCGCGCGCGTCCGCGCTCGAGGCGGCACGTCGTCGCCGCGGCCGCGACGCGGCACGCCGCCTCCGGCTCCCTCAGCGCGCTCGCGCAGAAGAACTCGTCGGCGGCGGCGTCGTCGCGTCGTCGTCGTCTCGCGGACTCCGCGGCGAACAGCGCGTCGTGCGCCTCGCGGCGGCACCGTTTCGTCGTCGCTGAGCGATGGACGTCCAAGTCGTCGCGGCCGCGAACCGTTGCGATGAGGACGTCGTCGCTCGTCGCTGCTGACGTCGCGGCGAGGAGACACGCGAGGACGAGGACGCCGCGAAGAGGGCGCGCGGCGCGCATCGCGGCCGGCGCGCGGAGAACGCGACGACGTGCGGCGGCGTGGCGTGGAGTGACCGCGGACCGCGCCGCCTGTGTGACAAGACCGGAGGGGTAGGGGCGCGGGCGGATTAATAACATTTCGGATTCTCCGAGAGAGATTCGTCGTGGCTCACATCCCCGCGCGCCATGGCCGCCGGCAAGCCGTCCGTGGGGCAGCGCGTGACCAAGAACTTCGACGGGAAAGACTACCATGGACGCGTCGCCGAGGCCAAGCCGGACGACCGCTACCCCGTCACCGTGAAGTTCGACGACGGCGACGTCGAGACGTGCACGTTCGCGCAATTCGACGCCGAGTTCGGAGGATTCGTCCGAGGACGCGCGGCGACGAGGCGTCGGTCGGAGTTGAAAGGCGTCGTGCGTGCGTGGGGTCGAACGTTGTGAGCGAGGAAGGAAAAGTCCTTAAGGATCGGCATTCACAACGCGAACGCGGTCGTATGGGGACCAGTGTGAAGACACTCGATCCTCCGCGACGAGATCCTCCGCCTCGCCGCCCCTCCCCGAGGTGGGCGATCGCGTCCGCAAGAAGTTCGGAAAGACGTGGTACTCGGGGAAGGTGCTCGAGGCGACCCCCGGCGACCGCTACCCTATCGCCGTGAAGTTCGACGACGGCGACGTCGAGACGTGCGCGGCCCATCAGTTCCACGCGAAGTTCGAGACGGCGGACGACACGTCCGAGGGACCGGGGACGCCCCTCCCCGAGGTGGGCGATCGCGTCCGGAAGAAGTTCGACGGCGAGTGGTTCGAGGGGACGGTCGAGACGGTGGTGAAGGGCGACAGGTGGCCGATCAGCGTGCGATACGACGACGGCGACGCGGAGTCGCTGACGTGCTGGACGTTTCACTCCCAGTGCGAGCCGCTCGCGCTCGGAGTAGGGAAGAAGCGGAAAGTTTCCGCCGCGGAGAAAGAGAAAGAGAAGACGAAGAAGAGGAAGACCGCGCCCGCCTCGGATAAGAAGAAGAAGAAGAATAAGAAGCCGCCGACGACGACGACGACGAAGACGACGCCCGCGAAGGGTGACCTGGTCAGCGTCGATTGCTACTCGCCGAGCGACGACAAGCGCGTCGCGCGGCTGTACCCGGCGCACGGGTACGCCCCGAAAAAAATCAATCTCGAGATGAAGATCCCTTTCAAGAGGCACCTCAAGTGCCTCTGGGAAGTCGTGTACGACGTGTGGACGAGACTGTGCGATGAAGTGAACGTTCCCGCGAACGAGCCCGCGCGGAAGCACTTGTACTTACCCGGTAAAATCATGATCTACTCCGAGCCGAAACTGTGGGACGAGCTGGTCGGCCCGGACAAGGAGGTCAAGGAGATCCATGACTTTCGCTTCAACCGAAACCAGACGATCGCGGCCGCGCTCGACTTCGCCGGGAGTTTCCTGAGTTTGACCCTCGATCTCAACGGGGGGTTCCAGGGCGAGGATCACGTGCGCAGGAAGTGCAATTTCCCAAACAGTTAGAGCGAGTCTAAACGCGACAAGTACGCGGAAGCGTTTGATGCCATCACGCGAAAGATCAACGACGAGAGAGAAGACGGCGCGGCGTGGTCGCTGTGCCCGCACCTCGGGGACAAGCGCACGTGCGTGGTCGTCCAGACCATCGATCGCGTCGGGGGGGTCGCGCGTTGAGGTCGGGCGTCCGAGCGCGGCGAGAACGTTTTTTGTACGAGTACATGTAAAAGAGTTTACCGCACGCGAGAGAGAGAGAAGACTCGACCGGACTCGACCCGACTCGACCGCGGCGCGGACTCAGTCCACCTTTTCCCCGCCCTGAAACGTCTCCCGCGTCCAGTGCGACTCCCGCCGAATGTACCGCGGCCGTCTCGTCGCTCTGCTCTGCTCTAACCGCGCCAGCGCCGGCGCCGCCTTCACCGCGCCGTACGCGAGCCCTCCCGCGCTGCCGTACAGCACGAGCAGCAGGGTGAACGCGACGGAGGCGCCGCTGCGGGTCGTTCCGTACGAAAAACAGTATGTTCATCGGTCAGTCGAAAGGGACCAACGCGATCAAATGTTGAAACCGAGCGGTGGGTGGGTGAAAAACGTTTGCACAGACAGAACGCGCCTGATCGTCGCGACGCCGAAAAATACCAAACCGCTCCACGTGCCCGCCGCGAACGTTCGTATCAACGCCGGCAGCCGCCACGCGAACGATATCACCGCGCTCGCCATCCCCACGGTGAAATTCGAGAGCACAGTGAACCCCCACCGTATCAGCAGCTCCGCGAGCGAGTCGTCCGACCGGCCGCCGATGATGAGCCAGAACGTGTCGTAGTACGTGTTTCGCGTCGCGAAGACTTTGCCGCGCTCGTAGCAGTCTCGGAACAGCGCCTTGGCCTCGTCGACGCCGAGCGCGGACCACAACCCCAGCGTTCGCTTCGCCTCGCGCACCTTGGCGTCGCGGCGCTTCCGGTACACCTCCGCGTCTCTCAGCTTCGCGCGCTGCCGCGCCTTCGCCTTGTTCACGCGCGCGCGACACGGAGCCGAGGACCAACAAAACCACTGCGAGTTTCGCGCTCGATGGACATCCATCGTGGCGTGGTATAACGCCGTCTCCGCGGCCGTTCGCGGCTCGAGGTCGATCGCGTCCGCGGCCTCCATCATGTCGAAGTACTTCGTCTGCATCGCGTCCGTGATCGTCACCGGCGGGGTGGCGTAGAACGCGACGAAGATGCCGAGAAGGTAGAGGAGGACGCACGACGTGAATCTAGGCGTCTCGAGCGGCTTCCAGCGCGAGACGACGCCGACGATGCCGCCGCCGCCGCGGCCGCTCGCGGCGCGGTCGCGGGGCGGCGGGGACGCCTCGCGGCGCGGCTGGATGTCCATGCGCGGGCTCGGCGAGGGATCAGGCCGCGTCGCGTCCTCGGGGGGGGCGGGGCCGTCCATCGTGGCGCGCGCGGGGCGGATCTGTGATGAGACGTGGATGGATGCGGATGCGCGCAGCGATCACTGCCGAAAAGTTGCCCACTTCTCGCCGCGTCCAAATTTAGGTCCCCGACCACAACCTTCCGCGCCGCGTCGACGAACGGCCGCGGGGCGTCCTTCCTCGCGCACTCGCGAGACGCGCGCGCGCGCGCGACGGCGGCATCGGACGCCGCGAACGAACCGACGCCGCGACGAACGACGCGCGAGGGGAGCGCCGCGACGAGAGCGCGGGAGGGATTTATTTAACCAGCTAGGTGCCGCGCGGTTCGGCATCCGACACCGCCATGACGCGCCCGGAGACGACGCGCGAGTGCAGACAGATCTCAGAGGCGCTGGACAAGGAGATCACGTGCGTGCGACGCGCCGCGCGTCCTCGCGGCCCTCGCCCCAGCGCGCGTCGGAGACGTGTTCCGACCCGCGCCTGCCTGTTTCGAAGCGCTGACGTCGCCGAATCCTCCCCCTCCCCATCGATCGACGCAGGCTGACGATCGGCCACGACCGCATCGCGGCTCACGCGAAGGAGCTCAGGGCGAAGCAGCACGAGGAGACGCTCGCGGCGCAGGCGCGGGCGGCGACGCCGAGAGCGCCGCCGGTCGCGGAGGACGACGTCCCGAAGTTCGTGTGGCCCGCGTTGGGAACCAGACTTCCCACGCATCTCCGGAGGGACCTTGACAAGCCCAAGCGCGACAAGACCGTGCACTGACCGAACGCGGCGATACGTAGACCGAGTAGTGTTTAAATAAATGATTACGATTTCGTTTCATACAAGTACAGCGCCCGCGCGTAGGCGATAAGTAGACAGACGTTAGACACGTGAGACAAGAGATGGCTGTTCGTACACAGAGCTCTTCGCCGCCGCTCTGAATTTCTTCGACCCCGCCGTCGCGTCGAGTTCGAGTTCGAGCTCGGACCCCGCGACGAATCGATGATCGAATCGAGAGAGGTTTCAACCTGGTGGTCGATCGATCGGTCGACTCGGTCATCAGTTGTTCACCGTGTCGTTCACGCCGACCGGCGCTGACGTGGACTTCACGACGTTGTTCGCCGGCCCCGCGAGATCCTCCCCCGGCCGTCCCTCGAGGTCCATCCCGACGGACGTCCACGCGATGTCGTACCCGCGTTGCGACGGGTCCCCAGCCACCGCCGTCACCGAGACGCCGCCGAACGTGTTCTCGGAGACGGCCCGCGCTTCGCCGCCGTTCGTCTCCGCCGCCGCGAGCGTCCCGTCGAACTTCTCGTCGTAGTCGATCACCGCGACGTCGCCCTCGAGGATCTTCCCGCGAAGCAGCGCCTCGGAGAGAGAATCGTCCACGATGGACGTGATGGCGCGTCGAAGCGGACGAGCGCCGTACTCCTGATCGAATCCCTCCGAGAGCACCTTGGTCATCGCCGCGCTTGTCAAGGCCATCTCCATGCCCTTGACGCGCACCCTCGACGCGGTCTCGCGGAGCATGATGCTGCCAATCTCGCTGACGGACTCCCGCTCGAGCTGCTTGAAGCACACGATCTCGTCCAGACGGTTGAGCATCTCCGGACGGAAGAAATTTTTGAGCTCCTCGAGCACCTTGTCGCGCATGCGTTTGTACGCCGCGCTGTCGCCGTTATCGTCGAATTCCTCCTGGAGGTCGAACCCCAGCGTTTGACCGCCCTTCGCGATCACCTTGCTCCCGACGTTGGACGTGAGCACGATGAGCGTGTTCTTGAACGACACCACGCGCCCCGTCGAGTCGGTCAGGCGCCCGTCCTCCATCATCTGCAGCAGAATGTTGAAGACGTCCGGGTGCGCCTTTTCAATCTCGTCGAAGAGCAGGATCGTGAACGGCGTCCGTCGCACCGCCTCCGTGAGCGTCCCGCCCTGGCCGAACCCGACGTACCCGGGCGGCGCGCCCACGAGCTTCGACACGGAGTGCCGCTCCATGTACTCGGACATGTCCAGACGCACCATGTTATCCGCGGAGCCAAAGTACTTCTCCGCGAGCGACTTGGTCAGCTCCGTCTTGCCCACCCCCGTGGGGCCGGCGAAGAGCATCGACGCGATCGGTCGGTTCGGGTCCTTGAGACCGCAGCGCGTGCGTCGCAGCGATCGCGCGACCGCGCTCACCGCCTCCTCTTGACCGATGACGCACGCGCGCAGGGAGTCGTCCATGGTGGCCAGCGTCGCCGCCTCGTCGTCCGTCATGCGTTGGACCGGGATCCCCGTCCACTGCGCGGCAACGGCTTCAATGTCGCCGACGTCGACGACGGACCCGGCGCCGCCCATCTGCCCGCCGTCCGCGCCGTCGACGTCGACGTCGATGCCGAGGTTCAGAAGGTTCTTCTTGACCTCGCGCTCGCGGTCGCGCAGCAGCGTCGCTTCCTCGAAGAGTAAGCCGCGCACGGCTGCTTCCTTGGCTTCGTGGACTTGCTTCAACGCGCGCCACAGCTCCATCGCCTCCATGGACGTCGCGCCGTCGACAGCCTCGCCCGCGCGCATCTTCGACGCCATGTACTTCTTGATCCTCGCCGCGCTGCCCGCCTCGTCGATGAGATCGATCGCCTTGTCCGGTAAGAACCGGTCCGCGATGTATCGGTTGGAGATCTGAACCGCCGCGACGATGGCGTCGTCCGTGATTGTCGTCTCGTGGTGCGCCTCGTAGCGGTCGCGGAGACCAAAGAGGATCGCCGTCGCGTCTTCTTCGCTCGGCTCCTCGATCATCACGGGCTGGAACCGGCGCTCGAGCGCGGCGTCCTTCTCGATGTACTTCCTGTGTTCGTCCACGGTGGTCGCGCCGATGCACTGCAGCCCCCCGCGCGCGAGCGCGGGCTTGAGGAGGTTGGAGATGTCCATCCCGCCGCCGCCGCCGCCCTTACCGACGGCGCCCGCGCCGATCATCGTGTGCACCTCGTCGATCATCAACACGACGTCCCCTTTCTCTTTGATCTCCGCGAGGAGGCCGGTGACGCGGCTCTCGAGCTCGCCGCGCTCTTTCGCGCCCGCCATGAGGAGGCCGACGTCGAGAGACAAGACGCGCTTGTCCTTGAGAAACTCCGGGACGTCGCCCTTCGCGATGCGAATGGAGAGGCCCTCCGCGATGGCCGTCTTGCCCACGCCCGGCTCGCCGAGGAGGATCGGGTTGTTCTTGCTCCGTCGCGCGAGGATCTGGATCACGCGCTCGACCTCCTCGTCGCGGCCGATGACCGGGTCGATCTTGTCCTCCCTCGCGCGCGCCGTCAGGTCGAAGCAAAAGTCCGCGAGCGGCGACTTTTCCGACGACTCCTTCCCGCCGGAACCGGCGCCGGGCGTCGACCCCGCGCCTCTCGCCGCGGGCGACGACGGCCCGCTCGACCGGTTGTTCCCCTCGCGCTCGCGCTCGCCCTTCAACCTCCGCTCCGCCTCCGCGTTGACCGCGGCGCGGTCCGCGTTCATCGCGGCGAAGAACGCGACGAGCGCGTCGTCGTCCAGTGTCGCCGCCGCGACGGCGACGTGCTCGGGCGCGATGTAATTCATCCCCGCGGACTGGCTCGCCGCGAGCGCCGCCTCGAACACGCGCTTCGCGCCTCGGCTGAACGGCACCTCGGACGTGCTCGCGCGATGTCCTTGGCCTTCTCGCGCGCGAGCTCGATCGTCATGCCGGTGCCCAGGTAGCCCCCCTTCTTGGCCTGCGAGGGTCGTTCCGTACGAAAATGGTAAATAACCGGTCAGTTGAAAGGGACCAACGCGATCAAATGATGAAACCGAGCGGTGGGTGAAAAATGTTTGTTAGAACACACCTCCTCGGCGATGAGGCCCATGACGATGTGCTCCGCGCCAACCTCGGGGCGACGCAGCGCCTTGGCCTCCTGCTGCGCGAGCATGACCGCCTTGATGGCGCGCTCGGTGAACTTTTCGAACACCGCGGTGACGACGAGCGCGCCGCGGGCCTGAGGAAGGGGGAGGGTCGGAGGGAGGAGCGAGGAGGGCGGACGATTTATTGATCGGGTCAGTCGTCCGTCCGAGGGCTCGTTTCGTTTCAAACCGCGAGGGAGTCGATCGATCGTTCGCGTCGTTCAGTGGAATCGTTGACCGGTCGCGTCGAACCGTCGGCGAGGCGACGCGCGCGTTGGAAAAGCATCGATCGAGTCGGAAGATGCCGCGCGAGCGCGGCGGGAGGGAGGCGCGCGCGTCGCGCGCACCTTGACGGGATCACGCGCGCGGACGAACCCGGCGGTGCCTGCGGGGGATCGAGGAAGGGACGACGACGTCAGCGAACGCCCCGGCGCGTCGCGAGGGTGAGGCCGCGCGCGGATCCGCGGCGCGGGATCGACCGATCGATCGACGATCGACGTCGCCGTCTGGTCGTTCGCGCGAAATCGAAAGAAAAAAGCGCGCGCACCGTTGGCCCCGGAGGCGAAGGACGAGCGCGACGCGCGGTGCGCGTTCGCGGCGCGGCGCGCGGGGACGCGCGCGGACGCGGCGGAGCGAACCGGGCGGCGCGTCGTCTGCGCCTGAGGAGGAGGACGGAGGACGGGAGAGGCGCGCGATGGGTCAGCGAGAGGTCGCGCGTCATTCATTTCGCCGGTCCAACGACGAGGAGAAAAAAAACCAGCGCGTCGCTCCGCGGGGAGACGCCCGGACGCGCGCTCTGCGCGGCGCCGCGCGGCGCGTCGTCCCCCGCGCGACGCGCGATCGATCTGTCCACGCCGAGGCGGCGCGGAATGTCGTCGCGGGGGAGGACGCGACGCGTCGAGACGCGCGCGTCCGCGCCGCATTCCCTCCGCGTCGCGCCGCGCCCGCGTTGGGAGAAGAGAAGAGGATGATTTCGCGCGCACCGCGGTCGTGCCCACTCCGGGAACCGCGCGCGAGGACGCCGTCGCGGTGCTCATGACGTCCGGACGACTCGCGGCGCGTTATCGGTGGTGTGCGGATGCGGCGTAGACGTCGCGCGCGATGTGTGTGCTGTCGCGTGAGCGTCGCGTGGAGGGCGCCGCGTTGTGTAGTGGACCCGCGGGCTCGCGGTCATGTTTAAAAGTGTTGGGTCAGCGCGCGCGATGACAGTTGGTGAACTTTCTGCCAAATATCTCGCGTACTCGCGCATACGAGCAAACAGCCAGAGTACGCGCCAAAGCTTGATATTTTTGGCGCAAAAAAGAAGAATCTCTGGTGTGTTATTTCTTTTTGGTGCCACATCAGCTTTTCGCCTTCGCGGGTTCTCGTTCAATTCCAATTTTGTGCAGTCGGCACGCTAAAGCTACACGGACGCGTCTAACTAAGGCAACATCACCCTCGGGGGTTTCCTCGTCTGCTTCCGCATCGGCTTCGGCTCCGACGGCAGTCGCATCCCGGGACCGCGCCGCGGGCATCGTCCGCGCCGAGTCGCGTCCTCGGGGCCCGCGTTCCGCGGCGCGGCGTTCTCGCGGCGCTCGTCGTCGTCGCTCCAGTCATCCGCCGCCGCCTCCGCCTCTAAAAGCGAAAAAGGCAAACGCGCGCCGCCGTCTTCCGCGCCGTCGCCGCGCGCGCTCGCCGGCGCGCCCGCGCCTCCTCGAACGCCGCGGTGATCGCGCGCGAACGCGGGCTCGCCCATGCCCTCGAACCCCATCGCCGGGTCGCGACGACGACGGTCCGACCGCCGCGTCGCGTTCGACGGCGCGGGCGCGCCGCCGCCGCCGCCGCCGCCGCCGGACCGCGGGAGCGGTCTCCCCGTCTCTGCCACCCTCCTCCCGCCGTCGTCCTCATCCATCTCCCCCTCCTCCTCCTCCTCGTCGTCGTCCCATAACGCCGTCTCGAACGTCCACACGCGCTTCCGCCGCGCGGCGTCGTTCTCCGCGGCGAGTCGCCTCGCCTCCGCGCGCGCGGCTTCCTCTTCGTCTCCCTCGCGGACGATTCCGAGTCCTCCGCCGCCGCCGACGCCTCGCGTCGTCGTCCGCTCCCTCTTCGCCGCCGCCGCCGCCGCGCGCGCGCGATCCCACTCCTCGCGCCGCCGCGCATTCTCGACCGCGACGTCCAGAGCCTCGAACGCGCGCGCGACGCGGTCGATCCCGCGCGACCGAAGGACCGCGTCTGGCGGCGTCCCCATCGCCGCCCAGTCGACGTCGCCGTCGCCGTCGCGCCCCCGCGGCGGCGACCACGCCCCTCGCGCCCTCCGCGCGAGCTCGCGGCGGTCGAGACGCGTCTCCACCGCGCGCCGCTCGAGCGCCGCGGACGCGTCGGAACGTCGCGAGACGTCCGCGAACGCCGCGTCGACCGCGTCGCGCGCCGCCGCCGTCTTTCGCTTCGCCGCCGAGAGCGCCGCGTCGGTCGCCGCGCGCCGCGACGGTTGACGTTCCGCCTTCCCCCCCACCACCCCCACCGCGGCGCCGTGCGCCTCCGCGTGCGCGCGGAGCAGCGCGCGCTCGACGCCGTCGAAGCGCGAATCGAGCGCCTCTGTCTCGCCGCGCTGGCGCTCGAGCGTCGCGCGCGTCCTCGCGTCGTCGTCGTCCGCGACGACCGCGAGCGCGGCGTCGCGTTCGCGCGCCTGCGCGTCGTCGTTGTGTGCGCGCAGCGCGTCCGCGTCCGCGAGCTCGCGGTCGCGCGTCAGGAGCGCCTGGAGATGCCGCGACGCGACGAGGTCGTGCGAGTACGAGACGCGATGCTCGCGGAGGGCGCGCTCGAGGAGCGCGACGAGGCGTTCGATCTGGCCGCGATGGCGTTCGCGCAGCGCGATGCGATGCGACGCGACGCGCGACGCGAACGACGCGCGCGTCGCGTCCAGCTCGGCGGCGAACGCGCGCAGGGCGTCGCGCTCGCGCGTCAGCGACCTGGAGTGGCGCTGCGGTTGGGGAGGGAGGCGCGGGGACGGGACGGACGCGGAGGAGGGCGTGAGATCGATGCGTCTCGCGGAGGAGGGGGTGGTGCCGAGAAGGCTGCTGCGAACGACGACTGGACGAACGTCGGCGACGACGACGCGCGGCGTCCGGTCATCGCGCGGCGCACCTCGACGAGGGCGTCGAGCTCGTCGACCGCGGCCGACTTCTCGGCGTCTTCGGCCGCGGCGGCGTCGTCGTCCTCGGACGCGGCGCCATCGCCAGACGACGCGCGCGACGCCATCTGATGAACGGCTTTTTGGTTTTTCCGAGTATCGACGTGGAAACGAAGACGAACGCGCGCCGGCCGCGCGAAGCATCTCATCGGCGTCGCGTGAAGGTATTCTTCTCTCGATGTTATTAAATTAACTAAATTAATACGAATTCCAATTCGACCGCGCGTCGCCGCGCGCGTCGCCTCGTCCCGAGGCTTTATCCCCCCCCACTACACGACGGTAAGTTAACAAACAGTTCGCGTCGAATAATAACTCACTTCCCCGCGGCGGCGCGCGGCGCCGCGAACGTCCGCAAGCTGTGCGAATCCCCGACGAAGCGATAATGCCACGGCTCGTACGACACCCCCATGACGTTATCCTTCCCGAAGCTCATCTCGAAGTGAAACGCCGCGGCGTTCTTCCTGAGCCACCTCGACGCGTCCGTCTTATCGAACGACACCACCAGGTCGTCGCCGACGGATGGCGTGCTGAGGGTCGTTCCATACGAGCGAACGTCGGGGTGGAGTTGAAAGGCGTCAGTTGAAGTTGAAAGGCGCCGAGGGCGGGTATTGAAAGCGGGGGGTGGGCGGAGAGAGACGACGGCAAAATTCCTTAAGAAACGGCGTTCACCACGCGAACGGGGTCGTATGGGGACCAGTGTATAGAACGCACCTGACGTCGACGGCGTACCCCGTGTGATGCTCGCTGTGCCCCGGCGGCGCGGAAACTAACGCTCGCTCCGCGGCCGTTTGCCCCCGCGCGGCTTTCACGTCGAAAAACAGTCGCTCCTGATGCGCGATCGATCGGAAGCCGCTGACGGGGATCAGCGTGACGCCGTCGGCGGCGGCGGCGGCGGCCATGCGTCGCCACGCTGCCGCCGCGGATCGACGCAGCGTCACCCGGCCGTATCTCGCGTCGCTCAGCGGGACGAGGTCGCGCCGCGGGGCTTCCTCCATGCGGTAGTGGCCCAAGATGTGCGCGGGCGCGGCGACCGAAGACGACGCCATCGCGCCGCCGTATAACGCATCGTTTGATGGCGTTTTCGAGGCGAGGTACGCGCCGGAGCACGCCGCGCCGAGCGCCGCGGAGAGCACGAACGGCATCGTTCGCGCCGCCGCCGCGAGCGCGCCTCCGCCTCCGCCTCCGCCTCCGCCGCCTCCTCCTCCGCCGCCGAACGCGCGCGGGCGGTCGAACCCGCCGGGCGGCCCGCCGTCGCCCGGCTCCGGCGACGGCTCGCGGAGATCGCGCGCGATGTCGTCCGCGCTCGCGTCGACGCCGACGTCCGCGGACCACGACTGATGATGCCGAAGCGTGGAGACGCCGTCGGCGGGGTACCCGCGCGGGCTCGGTCGTCGCGGGAGGAGGTTGTTCTTCTTCTCCGCCTCGCCGACGCCCCACCCGCGCCTCGTGAGCTCGTACGCGGGCGGCGGCGGCGGCGGCCGCGTCGCGAGCGTCGTCGCGTCGCCGTCGTCCACGCGGAGCCATCGGAGGTTGTCGTAGCTCGCGGAGCTGTCGCTCTCGGTTCGCTCTTGGTTCGTTCGCGAACGACGCGGATCGTCCCAGCCTCCGCCGCCGCGGTCCCACGACGACGACGCGCGCGCGGCGGTCGTCGCGCGCCTCGCGCCGCGTCGTCGCCGCGCGATCGCGCGCGGCGCGCTCGCGCAGATCGCGACGCTCGCGGTGGACGCCATCGCCGCGGCGCGCGCGCGTCGACGACTGGCGACCGCCACGACTCGAATCGTTGACGCGTGTCGCGAAAACGAACAACGGTCAAGTGAATCGGATTCGCGGTCGGACGACAAGTCTCCGGTCGACCGAGCGACGCTCGCGCTCGTTCGACCGCCGCTCGCGAATCCGGCAGATCGCGCCGCGCCCCGTCGCGGTCGCCGCACGCCCCGGGAAGCGCCATGGTGAACGAGTCCGAGATCGACGACTGGCTCGACTCGGACGACGAGTCGAAAGCGTCGACGCCGGCGCCGCCGCCGAAGCCGAAGCCGCCGCTGCGGGCCGCCGCGTCGCCGGCGCCGAGATCGCCCGCGTTCCCTCCGTCGTCGTCGAGCGCGAACGCGACGCGCGACGATCGCGCGTCCGACGCGCCGCCGACGGAGGCGATGCGGAACGTGCTACTGTCCCCGGAGGCGAAGAAGAAGCCTCCGCCGCCTCCGAAGCCGCGCGACGACGCCACCAGCGCGAGCGATCGCGGAGGCGCGCGCGGCGGCGATCGCCGACCTCAACGCGACGACGCGTTCCCCTCCCATCACGAGGTGAACACCGCGCTGGACCCGCGCGCGCGCCTCGACGCGGTGCTGAAACGCCCCGAGAACGTCACGTGCGCGGAGTGTCCGACGCGGAACCCGTGCTGGGCGTCGCTCAACCTCGGCGTGTTCTTCTGCCTCAACTGCAGCGGCGTCCATCGCGGGTTGGGCGTGCACGTGAGCAAAGTGCGTTCGACGTCGATGGACAAGTGGAGCGAAGAGAACGTCGCGTTCATGGAGAAGATCGGGAATTCGCGCGCGAACGCGTACTGGGAGGCGAACGTCCCGCCGGGGGCGAAGCCCACGGCGTCGGAGGAGGGGGACCCGGCGGTCGCGAAGTACATAAGGGACAAGTACGAGCTCAAAAAGTTTTGCGCGACGGACGTCGCGGGGCCCGTAGACGCGAGCGGCGTCGTGCACAAGACGCACGACGCGTTCGCGCCCAGGGAGCGCGTCGCGGGGGATAGGATGGCGTCGTTCGGGTCCGCGCCCGCGCCGGGGAGCCAGGGTGGCGGAGGAGGAGGAGGAGGCGGCGGCGGGGGCGGGATGCAGCTCGGGGGGATGAGTCTCGGAGGGCTGAGCGCGTGGGGCATGTCCGCCGCCGCGTCCGCCGCGGACGCGCTGAAGCATGCGGCGAACTCGGACGTGGTGACGCGCGCGAGGCAGAGCGTGCAGGAGGCTGGGAGCGGACTGCGCGCGCACGTCAGCGGGGAGGATCGCGCGGGCGGGGGAGGGAGCGACGCGGTCGAAGCCTCGGGCGGCGGCGACGGCGGCGGCGGCGGCGGCGGCGGCGGCGGCGGCGGCGGGTTCTGGGGCGCGCTCAGCGGGCTCGAGAAGATGGCCGGCGCCGCCGCGAAGATGACCGTGAACGCCGCGAAGGCGGCGGAGACCGCGGTCGCGAACGGCGACGCCCGGCGACTCGTGACCGGCTTCGCGTCGAAGCTCGAGTCCGGCGCGATGGAGCTCATCAAAGCCGCGCGTGAGGGCGGCGGCGGCGGCGCGAACGCGGGGCCGTCCATGCGGACGCTGTTGCGAGAGCACGGCTCGACGGATCACGTCGAGGCGCTGGAGGGCATGGCCGCCGCCGCGGAGGAGAACGCGTCGGATCAAGACGCGTTCGACAAGGCGTTCTTCGAGGTGAAGAAGCTCCTCGACGCGCCGCCGTCCGCGGACGACGACGCCGCCGACGCTCCCGAGGAAGACGCCGACGCGTGGAAAGCCGCGGACGCCGTCGTCGCCGAGGCGATCGAAGCGTGCGAGGCCGCGGCGACGCTCATCTCTCAGGGGCTCGCGCAGGAGGCGACGATGTACGCGGAGGCGGAGGCGAGGGCGATGGCGGAGGGCCGCGCGACGGCGTCAGCGCGCGCGCGGTTGCTTCAGAGCGCGGAGAACAAGGTGGGCTTCATCGCCGCGGACGCGACGTCGCGGCTCGCGGAGCTCGTCTCGCTCGTCTCGAGCGAGCTCCGCATGCTCGCCATGTCGCACATGCCCGGGAACGCGAGAGCGGGCGAGGACGCGAAGACGGCCGCGGATATGGCGCGCGAGGTGCGCGCGGTGGCGACGGCGGGTCAGAAGCGACTTCGCGCGCTCGCGGAGAAACTCGGCGACGCGCTCGAGGCGGCCACCGCGGGCGCGGACGACGCGGCGGCGGCGGCGGCCGGGCCCGGGGACGAGCGCGAGCGCGAGCGCGTTCCGCCGGTGTCGTCCGTCGGCGCGGCCGCGCGCGAGGCGCTGACGCGCGACGCGGGCGTCGGCGCGAGGGAGATGAAGGACGCGGCGGAGGCGTGCGCGCACGTCATCGCCGGGAGCGTGACGAAGGGGAAGAGCGGCGGCGCGCTGAAGAAGCAGGCGGCGGCGGACGACGGGTGGGGGGACGACGACGCGTGGTGATCGAGTTACAGGCTAACGTACGCTCACCGCGCGTGCATCGTCATCCACTGCTGCTTCGTGAACGGCCGCAATAATCCCGTCTGCTTCTCTCTCTTCACCGTGCTCCTCGCGCCGTTGTAGTCGTGCCCCGGGTACACGTACATCTCCTCCGGGAGCTCCCTCGCGCACCTCGCGAGCGAGTCGAACATCCTCTCCGCGGACGCGTCCGGGAGGTCCAACCGACCGCACGACCCGGGGAAGATCGTGTCGCCGCTGATGACGACGCCGTTGCCGTCGCCGGGGGCGCCCTGCTGGTCGCCTCTCACGGCGATCACCATGCTTCCGGGGCTGTGCCCCGGCGTGTGCATGAACTTCATCTCGATCGCGCCGACTTTAAATAACGCCCCGTCCTTGTGCGTTATCAATTTATCCCTCGGGATCTCGTTCCTGCGCACGATCTCCCCCGCGTCCTCCTCGTGCGCGTGGCACGGCAGCCCGCGAAGGTGCAACTCTCTGATCCCGGGCACTTTGATCCCCAACGCGTCGAACGGCGGCGGCGGCGTCCCTCCGGTGTGGTCGAAGTGATAGTGCGTCGCGATCGCGCCCACGAGCTTCATCTTATCTCCGTCGATCACCCTCTGTATCCCGCGCACGTCCCAGCACGCGTCGATCACGACGCACTCGCGCGTCTTCGCGTCGCCGACGAGGTAGACGAAGTTTTTCATCTGCGTCGCCGCCATCGCGATCTGTTGCTCCGCGGCGTTGGACGCGTTCACGCAGATGTCGCGACCGGGGAGGAGCTGCCGGAAGTAGAACCCGGCCTGAGCTTCCTTCGCGATCGCGACCCTCGACGCGATCGTCGCGTCCGACGGCGCGAGCGACGACGCGGTCGCGTACGCCTTCTCCGCGTCCTCGTGACGTCCCATCTGGAACAGCGCCTCGCCCGCGCGGAACGGGCCCTTCTCCCATGTCGGTCGCGCGGTCGTCGCGGAATTCGCGTCCTCGAGCGCGCCCGCGGCGTCCTCGAGCTTCAGCTTGCACAGGGACAGGTTGCTGTGCACCGCGCCTCGCGCGGTGTCGTCCGGCGCGAGCGCCAACGACGCGGTGTACCTGCCGCGATGGTTGGATGGTTGGATGGCAGGACGATGGTGGCGGGAGAGGAAACGTCAGATCTGTCGAGCTCGACCACGTCGCGGGGCGCGAGAGCGGACGACGACGAGCGCGCGTTGTTCGAGGACGGACGACGACGCACTTCTCGACGGCGAGCGCGACGTCGCCCGCGGCGAGCGCGTTCGCGCCCGCGGCCTTCAGCTCGTCGAAGCTCGACATCGGCGCGCGGCGAGGTGTGCAGGTCGGGAGTTGGAAAGTCGGACGAGTAGAAGAGGCGAGAAAGTAGGACCCGACTGGAAGAAAACGAACATTCTTCGCCGCGCTTCATCCATCCGCAGATCTCCCTCCTCCTCGCGCATGTTCGGCGGCGGCGGCTTCGGCGGGATGCCGTTCGGGATGTTCGGCGGGATCCCGTACATGGGCGGCGGCGGCTTCGGCCGCGGACGACGCGGCAGAGGCGGGTTCAACCCGTGGTTCTTGATGATGGCGATCCGCCTCTGGAACGAGATCGACCGCCTCCCCGTGAAGCCCCCAGTCACGCTCGGCGTCATGGCGCTCTCCTCCGCGCTGCACTTTGGCATCCTCGGCGACCGAACCTTCAGCGCATCGGACGCGTGCCTGAACCCGCGCGCGGTGATCGAACTCGGGGAGTGGCACCGCCTCGTCACCGCGCCGCTCTTCTACGCGGACGAGATGCACCTGGTGTACAACCTCAGCTCGATGCTGTGGAAGGGTGTCCAGCTCGAGACGCGCATGGGCAGCGAGGCGTTCGCGAAGCTCCTCGTCTTCCTCCTCGTCAGCGTCAACGCCGCCGCGTGCGCGGTCGCGTGGGTCACGCGCGCGCATTTCGCGTCGGTCGAGGAGGCGTACTACCGCTCGTGCGTGACCGGCAGCGCGGGGGTGCTGTTCGCGCTGAAGAGCGTGATATTCTCGGGGGAGGACGCCGCCGCGGGGTCGAATTTTTTCGGGATGTTCTTCGTGACGAGGCGGTGGGCGTCCTGGGCCGAGCTCGCGCTCGTGTACTTCCTGAACCCGAGAGACACGGGCGGTTTGATCGTGAACCTGTGCGGCGTCCTGGTCGGCATGGCGTACGCGCGCAACGCGGCGACGCTCGGGCGGTGGATGGGGATCGAAAACGCGGGGGGCGCGAGACGCGACGGCGGCGGCGGCGGCGGCGGCTTCCCGTCTTGGTTCAGGAGACCGCCCGGCGACGGGCCCCCGGCGCCGACCCCCCCCTTCCCGCCCAACACGGCCGCCCCGCGCCCCCCCGCGACGACGACGCGGGCGACCCCCCCCCCCCCGCCGCCGGGGATGCGGAACCGCCGCGCCGACGCGTCGGCGGCGGCGTCGTCGGCGTCGTCGAGCGGCGGCGGGCCGGGGGTAGGCGCGCGCGTCGTCCTCGCGGGGCTTCGCGCGGCGGACATGAACGGCAAGAAGGGGGTCGTCTCCGGCCCGGACCCGAACTCGAGCGGGACGCGGATGTTCGTCAGGCTGGACACCGGGTTGGAGTTTTCGGTGAAACCGGTGAACTTGATCGAGATCGACGCGTGAGTCGCGGCGAGGCGAGTCGGCGCCGCGACGACGACGCGAACGTGACGCGGTGAACCATGCCGCACGCATACGCGTATGCCGTTCGCGCGCAGACTAGTCTATTCTTCTACAGTGAGGTTATCTATCCCGAGCCGCGCGCGACGACACGACCTCGATAGACCATCGCGCGCGCGCCGCTACCGTACATCACCGCCTTCTCGCGACGAATCGATACACCGGCCGCCACTTGCTCTCGCACACGAGGTCGCGTTCCGTGGGGACCAAGTAAGGGTTCGACGCGAGCCACCGCGGCGAGGACGTCGACGTCGTCGTCGTCGTCGTCGTCGTCGCGCGCGACTCGCCTCCCGCCGCGTCTTCGTCGCCGTCGTCTTCATCGCCGACGGGCGCGGTCTGGCTCTTCCACTCGTACCGATGCGCGGGGAACACGTGCTGGAACCCGCCGGCGTCGCCTCCCGTCTTCGTCTTCGTCGTCGTCGTCGTCGTCTTCGCCTCATCGCCCGCGCCCGCGACCGACGCGCCCTCGCCCTCGCCCTCGCCCTCGCCCTCGCCCTCGCGCGTCTCCCCGAGCTCCGCGTACATCTCGTCGTCGAGCTCGAACGCGCCGTGCCCTAGGAACAACGCGTACATCTCCGTCGCGAGCGGCTTCACGTCGGAGCAACAGTACACCCTCCCGCCGCGCGTCAACGCGTCTGCGAGCGTTCGCACGAACGCCGGCGTGACGACGCGACGGTTCGCGTGCTTCTTCCGGCTCCACGGGTCCGGGAACAGAATCGTCACCACGGAGAGGTTCGGCACGCGCAGCCCGCGAAGCGACACGTTGGCGTTGCACGCGATGAAGTGCAGGTTGTCCACGGCGGCGGTGGCGGCGGCGGACGTCGACGCGTCGCCGCCGCCGCGTCCGTCGTCGCCTCCTCCTCCTCCTCCTCCTCCTCTCCTCGCCGTCCTCGTCCAAGCGTTCGCCTCCGCGACCAGCGGCTCGTAAATCTCCAGTCCCAACAGGTTATGCTTCCCTCGTCTGCGCTCCAACAGATCCGCGTCCGTCGTCGCCGCGCGGCGAAGAAACTTCCCCTTGGCGCATCCCACGTCGACGAGCGATGGGAGCGTCGCGTCCGCGAACACCGCGCTCCACACTGGCGGCGGCGTCGGCGCGCGGTGCGGCGCCGCCATCGGGTTCGTCATCTTCTTCATGCGTCGGTGGATGTTCGTCTTCCGCCGCCGCGACGACGACGACGCGCCGCCGTCGTCGTCGTCGTCGTCGTCGGTGGCGGTGGCGGCGGCGGCGGCGACCGGAACGTCCCCCAACGCCGGCGCGTGCAGGCTGCAGTACCCGTCGCACCCGTCCGCGGCGCGCGACGCGCAGTACCGCCGCCGACGCGGGATGTACTTCGCGCACCCGCCCGCCACGCGCGCCTCCGCGGCGACGGACGCCTCCGACGCCTTCAGCCGTCGGTACGCCGCCTCCCACCTCGGATCCGACGCGATGATCGCGCGACAGCTCTTCGCGCCGTGCTTCAGCTCGTACGCGTCGTCCAATCGCTTCAGGACATCGCGCAGCTCCTCGAGCGAGAGCGACGGGAGGACGTCCGTCGCGGGCGGCGCGGCGTCCGTCGCCATGACGACGACAGACGACGCGGACCGCGCGAGGAGGAGTGCGACGATGATGGCGAAATCGATTCCGTGCTCTACTCTTCTACACGCGCTTCACGGTCTTGTTCTTCACCTCGTCCACGAACGCGACCGCGTTCCCAGCCTTGCTCCACCCTCCCGCGCCGTCCGACGACGGCGCGGCGTCGCCCATGTCCGCGATGAACAGAGGCGGGTGCGTCAGAATCGGCGTCGACGTGAGCGCGCCGAGACCCCGTTCGACCCCGCCGGCGACGCCGCCGCCGCCGGCGACGCCGCCGACTCCGTTTCCGTTTCCGTCGTCGTCGTCGCCGTCGTCGTCGCCGTCGACGACGTACTTCTCCTCTTGCTCCCTCCGCGCGTGCGCGATCGCGCCCCGCAGCGCCTCCATGAACCGGTTCGTCTCCAACGCCTCCGCGAGCGCGTCGCCGACGACCCGCGCCATCTCTTCGTTCCATCGCCTTCGCTCTTCGATCTCTTTTCGCATCTCGGCTTGGTTCTTCTTCGACGCCTCGAACACGTCTTCCCACTCCTTCTGTCGCGCCGTGAACTCGCTCTTCGCGTCGTCGCGGAGAGCGTCCAGGCGCTTCCTCAGCGCCGCGACCTCGTCCGCGGAGGACGACGCGCCGAGCGCCGCCGCGCGCTTCTTCAGCGCCGCGACCTCGTCCGCGGCGGAGACCGAGCCGGGGTCGCGGATCGACGACGCGTCGTCGACGTCGTCGGCGTCGGCGGCGTCGACGACTGTTCTTCTCCGCCGGCGCCAAAACGTCAACGGGTTCCTCCTCCCCCGCGCTGCGCGCGTCTTCGCCCTCTCGCGTCCAATCGCGTCCTCTCTCGTCGCGTCGCGCGCCTCTCGCTCGCTCGCCGCCGCGCTCTGCTTCTCCGCGGCGCGCGCGTCTCTCTCCATCTTGTCGAAAAGTTCCTCTCGCCTCGCCGCGAGCGCGGCGCTCTCCTCGGACAACGACGCGTACCGCTCGCCGATGCCCATCAGCCGCCTGTTCGCGTCCTCCAGCGTCTTCTCCCGCGCCGCGTGCGCCTCGAGCGCGCGATTCGCGACGTCCCGCGACGCGGACGCGGCCAGCGACGCCGCGCACACGCCGTCGAAGCTGCCGACCTCGATGCTCTCCATCGCGTCCTGGGCGAAGCGATCGTGGGTGAACGCGTCGGTCAGTCGAACGTCTCACCGGTCAAACAAACGTTGAAAGGGAAGCGCGGGTGAAGAGTGACGACGCGACGGACGGGGAAAGTCCTTAAGAAACGGCGTTCACATCGCGAACGGGGTCGTATGGGAAGCAGTCTCACCGCGTACGGCGTGTCCGACGTCAACGCGACTCTCCCGAGGTACGTCCGACAGAGGAACTCGTCGAACTTGGCGCCGATGACGTCGCACGCGCACGACCAGCCGAAATACGCGGTCACGCCCGCGACGAGCGCGAAGTGCGCGGCGGGGGAGAGGTTGATCATCGGCTTGTCTTTGTCCGCGACGGGCATCGGGACGCCGTCGACGTCTTGCCGTCGGTTCGCGTTTTGCACCGCGCTCGCCCACGCGCCGATCATGTCCTCCGCGCCGCCGTCCTTCGCCATCTCCTTCATGTACTCCTTCATGAGATCGTCGTCGTGCAAGTGCTCGTTGTCCTCGTCCATGTCGTCCGAGTACTCGCCCTGGCCTTCGTCGTCGTCGTCGCCGTCGGATCCGGGCTTGAAGAATCCCGCGCCGCCGCCGGAGGCTCTCCCGCCGCCGCCGTCGGAGCTTTCATCGCGTTGAACCGGTACCCGGTCAGCAGCGCGCAGAGCGCGTTCGAGAGGCCTTCGCCGACGACCTTACGCCGTCGGCGCGTCCTCGCTCGCGGCGGCTGCGCGGTTTCGACCGCGTCGGAGGCGGCGGCGGCAGCGGCGGCGGCGGCGGCCGCGTCTTCATCCCCCGTCTTCGTCTTCGTCCGCTTCTTCGCGTCGTTCGCCTCGCCCGCGCCCCACCCCTGCACGAGCGCGGACGCGAGCTCCATCTGGACGTCGTCCGCGCTGAACCCCATCTTGGTCGCGAGCACGGGGTTCCCCCACCCCACGCACAGTTTCCCGAACGCCTCTCCCATGGAGCATCGCCGCACCTCGACCACCCCGAGCGGGATGTCCGACGGTCGGAACAGCCGTCGGCGTTGACAGTACCGCAGTCCCATCGGGCGTCGGATGACGTCGCGCCATCGCTCCGCGAGGTCTTTCGAGAGGAAGTACGCGCTCGCGCCGAGCGATTTGGACGTCCGCGGCGGCGGCGCGGAAGTCGACGACGTCGTCGTCGACGTCTTCGTCGTCGACGACGACGA